CAGAGAATTCAATTCTGGCCTCTAGGCACCTCGTGTGAACTTTTTAGGAAATTTGGTGAAGTTGGATTTTTGGGTCAAAAACTGACTTTTTTGCCGGCTATGGAAAATGTTGAAGTTTTGGGGGCATTTTGTAAAAAACCTAAAATTGTTCTTTTCTCACTGGATACTGAATGTAATGAGTTGAACTCTTCAGGGAATTCAATTCTGGCCTCTAGGCACCTCGTGTGAACTGTTGAGGAAATTTGGTGAAGTTGGATTTTTGGGTCAAAAACTGACTTTTTCGATGATGCCGGCTATGGAAAACGTTAAAGTTTTGGGGGCATTTTGTAAAAAACCTAAAATTGTTCTTTTCTCACTGGATACTGAATGTAATGAGTTGTACTCTTCAGAGAATTCAATTCTGGCCTCTAGGCACCTCGTGTGAATTTTTTAGGAAATTTGGTGAAGTTGGATTTTTGGGTCAAAAACTGACTTTTTTGCCGGCTATGGAAAACGTTAAAGTTTTGGGGGCATTTTGTAAAAAACCTAAAATTGTTCTTTTCTCACTGGATACTGAATGTAATGAGTTGTACTCTTCAGGGAATTCAATTCTGGCCTCTAGGCACCTCGTGTGAACTTTTGAGGAAATTTGGTGAAGTTTGATTTTTGGGTCAAAAACTGACTTTTTCGATGATGCCGGCTATGGAAAACGTTGAAGTTTACGGGGCATTTTGTAAAAAACCTAAAATTGTTCTTTTCTCACTGGATACTGAATGTAATGAGTTGAACTCTTCAGGGAATTTAATTCTGGCCTCTAGGCACCTCGTATGAAATTTTTTGGAAATTTGGTGAAGTTTGATTTTTGGGTCAAAAACTGACTTTTTCGATGATGCCGGCTATGGAAAACGTTGAAGTTTTGGGGGCATTTTCTAAAAAATCTAAAAAATTTCTTTTCTCACTCAATACTGAATGTAATGAGTTGAACTCTTCAGGAAATTCAATTCTGGTCTCTAGGCATCTCGTGTGAACTTTTGAGGAAATTTGATCAAGTTGTATTTTTGGGTCAAAAAACTGACTTTTTCGATGATGCCGGCTATGCAAAACGTTGAAGTTTTGGGGCATTTTGTAAAAAACCTAAAACTTTTCTTTTCTCACTCGATACTGAATGTAATGAGTTGAACTCTTCAGGGAATTCAATTCTGGCCTCTAGGCACCTCGTGTGAACTGTTGAGGAAATTTGGTGAAGTTGGATTTTTGGGTCAAAAACTGACTTTTTCGATGATGCCGGCTATGGAAAACGTTAAAGTTTTGGGGCATTTTGTAAAAAACCTAAAATTGTTCTTTTCTCACTGGATACTGAATGTAATGAGTTGTACTCTTCAGAGAATTCAATTCTGGCCTCTAGGCACCTCGTGTGAACTTTTGAGGAAATTTGGTGAAGTTGGATTTTTGGGTCAAAAACTGACTTTTTCGATGATGCCGGCTATGGAAAACGTTGAAGTTTTGGGGGCATTTTGTAAAAAACCTAAAATTGTTCTTTTCTCACTGGATACTGAATGTAATGAGTTGAACTCTTCAGGGAATTCAATTCTGGCCTCTAGGCACCTCGTGTGAACTGTTGAGCATATTTGGTGAAGTTGGATTTTTGGGTCAAAAACTGACTTTTTCGATGATGCCGGCTATGGAAAACGTTAAAGTTTTGGGGGCATTTTGTAAAAAACCTTAAATTGTTCTTTTCTCACTGGATACTGAATGTAATGAGTTGTACTCTTCAGAGAATTCAATTCTGGCCTCTAGGCACCTCGTGTGAACTTTTGAGGAAATTTGGTGAAGTTGGATTTTTGGGTCAAAAACTGACTTTTTCGATGATGCCGGCTATGGAAAACGTTGAAGTTTACGGGGCATTTTGTAAAAAACCTAAAATTGTTCTTTTCTCACTCGATACTGAATGTAATGAGTTGAACTCTTCAGGGAATTCAATTCTGGCCTCTAGGCACCTCGTGTGAACTGTTGAGGAAATTTGGTGAAGTTGGATTTTTGGGTCAAAAACTGACTTTTTCGATGATGCCGGCTATGGAAAACGTTGAAGTTTACGGGGCATTTTGTAAAAAACCTAAAATTGTTCTTTTCTCACTGGATACTGAATGTAATGAGTTGAACTCTTCAGGGAATTTAATTCTGGCCTCTAGGCACCTCGTATGAAATTTTTTGGAAATTTGGTGAAGTTTGATTTTTGGGTCAAAAACTGACTTTTTCGATGATGCCGGCTATGGAAAACGTTGAAGTTTACGGGGCATTGTGTAAAAAACCTAAAATTGTTCTTTTCTCACTGGATACTGAATGTAATGAGTTGAACTCTTCAGGGAATTTAATTCTGGCCTCTAGGCACCTCGTATGAAATTTTTTGGAAATTTGGTGAAGTTTTATTTTTGGGTCAAAAACTGACTTTTTCGATGATGCCGGCTATGGAAAACGTTGAAGTTTTGGGGGCATTTTGTAAAAAATCTAAAAAATTTCTTTTCTCACTCAATACTGAATGTAATGAGTTGAACTCTTGAGGGAATTCAATTCTGGCCTCTAAGCACCTCGTGTGAACTGTTGAGGAAATTTGGTGAAGTTGGATTTTTGGGTCAAAAACTGACTTTTTCGATGATGCCGGCTATGGAAAACGTTAAAGTTTTGGGGGCATTTTGTAAAAAACCTAAAATTGTTCTTTTCTCACTGGATACTGAATGTAATGAGTTGTACTCTTCAGAGAATTCAATTCTGGCCTCTAGGCACCTCGTGTGAACTTTTTAGAAAATTTGGTGAAGTTGGATTTTTGGGTCAAAAACTGACTTTTTTTGCCGGCTATGGAAAACGTTGAAGTTTTGGGGGCATTTTGTAAAAAACCTAAAATTGTTCTTTTCTCACTGGAAACTGAATGTAATGAGTTGAACTCTTCAGGGAATTCAATTCTGGTCTCTAGGCATCTCGTGTGAACTTTTGAGGAAATTTGATCAAGTTGTATTTTTGGGTCAAAAAACTGACTTTTTCGATGATGCCGGCTATGCAAAACGTTGAAGTTTTGGGGCATTTTGTAAAAAACCTAAAACTTTTCTTTTCTCACTCGATACTGAATGTAATGAGTTGAACTCTTCAGGGAATTCAATTCTGGCCTCTAGGCACCTCGTGTGAACTGTTGAGGAAATTTGGTGAAGTTGGATTTTTGGGTCAAAAACTGACTTTTTCGATGATGCCGGCTATGGAAAACGTTAAAGTTTTGGGGGCATTTTGTAAAAAACCTAAAATTGTTCTTTTCTCACTGGATACTGAATGTAATGAGTTGTACTCTTCAGAGAATTCAATTCTGGCCTCTAGGCACCTCGTGTGAATTTTTTAGGAAATTTGGTGAAGTTGGATTTTTGGGTCAAAAACTGACTTTTTTGCCGGCTATGGAAAACGTTGAAGTTTTGGGGGCATTTTGTAAAAAACCTAAAATTGTTCTTTTCTCACTGGATACTGAATGTAATGAGTTGAACTCTTCAGGGAATTCAATTCTGGCCTCTAGGCACCTCGTGTGAACTTTTGAGGAAATTTGGTGAAGTTGGATTTTTGGGTCAAAAACTGACTTTTTCGATGATGCCGGCTATGGAAAATGTTGAAGTTTTGGGGGCATTTTGTAAAAAACCTAAAATTGTTCTTTTCTCACTGGATACTGAATGTAATGAGTTGAACTCTTCGGGGAATTCAATTCTGGCCTCTAGGCACCTCGTGTGAACTTTTGAGCAAATTTGATCAACTTGTATTTTTGGGTCAAAAACTGACTTTTTCAATGAAAAAGTCAGTTTAAAAGCGGCAAGATTTTGGGTAAAACGGAAAACAACTTCAATTTTGTAATTCTAGGCAATTTAACGCGGCTTTTTGCTTAAAAATTACAATTTGAAGAAAATTTGTCAAAATATACTTAATTAATTGGCAAAATATGTATACCTAAAATTGCAATTGATCAAAATTTTGCTTATTAACCAATAAGTGCTTTTTTCCACCCATTTTCATGTCAATTTTGCATTTGATGTAAAATTGAGTGAATTGTTTATGTATTCTGTACCTAATCAGCTTCAAAATGGTAGCCAACATGACCATTTATTATAAAAAAACAATTTATGACCCTCAGGATGACATTTTCACGGAATTGCCCTAAACCTCCCGCCCGCCCCTCCTCCCCCCTCCCTCATCCCGTCACCCTCCCCACCCCACCCGCGGGCCTCCCCCACCCCAATTCCCACCGCCCAACCCCGTCACATCGGGATACAGCGTAAAAGGGACAGAAAAAAGACACACACACATTTATCAAACGGGATCCCTTTAAACAAACGGGATCCCTTTAAGCTTTGTAACGCGTCTTTCATTGAGCTATAAATATCACCTGCACGTTGCAAGTGTTTATACTTGTAATGTAATACTAGTGCATAATGATTGTCAGTAACGTCCAGGAAATGTATTCAATATAACAAAAATAAGCTAAGCACGTACAAACTTATCGCGTAAATCATCGTATGCAAATTAGGTGAACAGCGCCGCTCATTATGACGTCAACGTTGAGTTCGTGCTTGCGCGCATGCCATCGCCTTAGGCCAATTTTGGCCCGACTCGCTTCAGTTTTATGAATTAAATCATTATGCATCGGAGGGTGTATATTCCAGAAATTTAGATTAGAAAAGCTCAGGATATCTGCTTTTTTTTGCCGAAGAAAGCGTCAAAATTTATGAATTATTGGTTGAGTTTTGACAGTTTAAACATTATTTTAGCGTTTCTTTTTTGGAACCAAAACTTCTTAATTTCGAGGGAGTCCATCTTTTCAATCCTGATTTTCTTCCTTCCCGAATTTGGTTCGAAATAAACCAAATTTGTGGTCGTAAGCGCGGAATTCTGTGGTAAGCAGAGCCAAGAAATTGGGCCCAGATGTGACGGCAATCAGGTTGATCTGTTGTCTGCTGGTCATAAAAGATTGTGTCCAAAACCATCTAAATGTAAGCTTAATGCGTGATGGGAAAGTTGCCATAATTTTCAAAAGGTAAATACATGTACATGTATGCTATATGGATGAAATACCCCTCATTTGTTTGCAAACCTTAAGCTCTGTTAATAAGAAATAGTCATGCCTTTAAAGAAAAATGATCCAGAAAAATTTTGAAGTTGCCTATCACTACAGTAACAAAGTTATTGCTGTTTCTTTGGCAGGCTGGTTCCTAATTGCATCATGAAAGCCAAAAACGAACGACGCAAACAATACATCGGATCCCAGATTGACGACTGCAAAGATCTGTCTGGAATCTTCTATTTGTTGCCCTTCCAGAAGGTATGAGGGACTCAAGGCCTAGACCCCTTCATCCAAAAAGTCCAACAAAACAAATTCAGTCCAACTGCAGTCCTTCTGTTTTGAGGCGTGCGATCACACCCCCACGCCATCACACGCCTAAAAGCTTCCCGAGAAGTGCGAATAATTGCACTCCTGAATCCATCAGTACCGCACACCTCGGCATACATTTACAGCATAATTATACTTCAAATTTGTGAAAAAGGAAAGATTCTCATATCTGGCCATCTTTTTTTCCCTTCAGTGACCTATAGCCATCAGAAAGTGATACATGTATGTCCTTAAAAAAAGTCAAATTTAGCAGGGAAAATAATGCAGTATTTACTGAGAAAACACTTTGAAAAGTTCAGACCAGTCTCAAATGGTTTGTGCACAGGGTGACAAGTGATGGCCACATTTGGGAATCTTTTCGTGAAAAATAAAGTACATCAGTGAAGAGAAAACAGCTTTATTGTAAACCAAGATGAATATTATAAATAAAGAAAAAATGATTCCATCAAAAAGGAAATTCTGTTGGCCATATTACCTACTGCAGATTTCAAGAATTATCCGCCCCTCAAAAAAAGTAGTAAATTAAAGTGACTTCTCAAAAGGCTGAACAAGTAAAAACAGCTATATATACGCATTCTGCACATAAAAAAAAAATCAGTAGAAACAGTCAGCGTTCCCACCTCCTAATGTTTACATGTTGAGATCAGTGGCGCACCCAGGATTTGGCTTGGGGGGGGGGGCCTCACAATTTGTTTTCTCCAATTTTGTAGAAGTTAAATTTTTTTTCAAAAAATGTTCAAAAATTTTGGCCGCAGAAAAAAAAAAAGGTTTTCTATTTTGATGTTGGTGGCGCCACTTTCACCCCTATTATACTACTCAAAAATAGGCCACAAACATATCACCAAGGTCAAATCTTGTGACTAAACCCCCCAAAAAAGCCCCCCCCCCCCAATGGCCCCCTCCCCCCTTCCTTGGGTGCACCACTGATTAAGATGTCATACTTAACAGTCTTATACAAATTGTGAATGTTTATGAGTGCAGTGGTAAGGATAATTTCATGAGGTTACAGAATAAGTTTTGTTTATCTGTTTGGTAATAGTGTGATCATGCAATGGAAGTTCTATGTACCGAGTAATGGAACTTTCATTTTTGTGGTGCGGCCGGGCCGTAAGTTGAGACAGATAATTCAATGACATGTGATCAACAACCCACCAATGAGATGACAGGGAAATCAAAAGAAAGAGCAAAGGTTGCTCTTAATTGTCACTGTACATGAAAAATGAAAAAAAGTGCAAATTGTCCTTCAGACTTATGGGATCCGGTCAATATATTTTTTTTATACAACACCAGAATAAATCCCCGTCATCTGATTGGTGGATCGTTGATCACATGTCATTGAAAAATTCGTCCCAACGCATGGCGCGCACGTGGCGCGCAGTGCACAGTGCAATGGAAGTTCTATTGCACAGTGAATAGAACTTCCATTGCACGGTGTCACTGCTGCTGGTGGTGGCGCTGTTTTAAATCGACATAAATTGAATATGATTGTTCTCAACCTGTGGAACAGTTTGCATAAATGAAATATGATGAACTTATCGAACTTTTAAACAGTTTTTAATCCGAAAAAATTGGCTATTAAAAGTCAACCAATCCATTGACAAGGATTTATTCAGGTGTTATATAAAACGAATAATGAATGTTTCTCGTTCGTGCAGTGGAAAGAATAATTTCATTTGGTGACAGATGAAATGTTCCATTCCACAAGGCGAACATTTCATCCGTCACCTCATGAAATTATTCTTACCATTGCACTCACAAACATTCATTATTGGTATACTATTTGCCATTGCTATCTGTGGATTATTTCCCAGGGTTATCTGGTCAACTGGGACGTCCAGCGCCAGGTCTGGGAGCACACCTTTGGCAAGGACGTGATGAACCTTGAACCCGAGGACACCAACGCCATCATCGCCGAACCCTACTTTGACTTCTCCTCCATTCAGGAAGCCATGAACGAAATCTACTTTGAGGAGTACAACTTCAAAGCCATCCTCAGAACAAATGGTAGATTGTCAAAGTCAGTTGGTTTCAGTGTACTGCAAGCTCAGCCAAGAAAAAATTGGCAGTTAATCAAATGTGACCCCCTGACAGAAATCAAAACAGCCTCACACACATTGGCCTACAGATCGTTGTCTTTCATATCCATTTGTTTTCGGTGAACACCACTTCAGAAGTGTTGTTGGTGCTGCTTCTCAGTTGTGTCTTATTTCCGTTTTTCATTGAAACTCTGACTGAAAAAAATGCAAACAACAAAACAATCTGAAATTTGTAATGCTAATCATGTCTTGTGCATGTAGACAGTATTTGGCAATACTTGGCAGTCAATCACATGGCAATCACAAGTCAACACCCAGTCAACCACAAGTAAATCACAAGTCAACACCCAGTCGACCACAATGCAATTACAAGTCAATCACAAGTTAAACCACATACAAGAAAACAACAAGTTAACCACAGGCCAATCACAAGTCAATCCAGAGTCAACCACAAGTCAACCACAGGTCAACCACAAGTCATTGTAGGCACAGGGAACAAACAGTGACTGCCTCTGTCATAGTTCAGTTGAGTAGCTTTTGACTTGACAAGAGACAGGATAACTTGTGGTTGACTCGTGATTTATACTTTGTTAGAAATCTGTCCAGTACAAAATTGTAAGTGTGTGTGAGTGCTTGTATTATTGTAATATAATTTAACAAATGTACTGTATCATTTTGATTATTATTGCATGCCTGATTCATTTAGTTATGTACCTTTCCCAAAATTTTAGCTGGTACCCTGAGTGCATTCAAGAACAGACAGGAAGAGCCCAACCAGTTATGTTGTCTCCTGGTGGATTGTGGGTACTCCTTCACTCACATTGCGCCATATTACAACGGCAAGAAAGTCGGCAGTGCAATCAGACGGTATGTTATAGTCTAGAACGTGAAAGTATGACGTGAGTGCTGTTGTAATTGACATTTATAAAAAAAAAAACAACACTGCCATATCAGATTCGATCAAGTCAGCGGACCCCGGCAAGTTCTGTGTTCGAGTGGTAAGACGTCTGCAATAGTAAGCAGGAGGTCGTGGGTTCGAGTCCCACCTGAGTGATGTTCGGGACAACACTGAGTATAGGCTCCGTGCGCCGACAAAGAGGGCGCCCTTTTACCCAGCAACGACGTCCCATGGGCGGGACATTTCGCTGGTTGACACGCACCATTCCTTGTGTGTGACGCATGTATACCAGGGGATTTGTACTATGTAGGCCTACACGCAGTGGCCGCGCTTCGCGGCAAATGAATTACAGTCAGGCAAGATGGCGTCGGTCGGTCATCCCCAACTGTACTTTCTTTGCCGGTGAGGGGGTACTTGTGAATGGAGCGGATGCAGTGTTTAATAAAAACAAAAAATGCGTTGGTGCAGGGCAAAACCCAGTATTGAATAAGTCCTGCTGCAATCTCAAGATTTCCTGCTTGTTATTTTTAATATAATGATAACATTTCGTCATGTGATGAGGAAAAGGGCGTTAGCAGGCCAGGCACGCAAAAACACTTATAGAAATAATCGACTTGAACGTTTTTGTGCTGCCATTTCTTGATAAAAAATCACATAAGGTTGAAATTTTGACTGATGACATTCGTTAATAATTAAAATAATGTTGTGCATTTTCATGTCAACATATTACTTAATTGTGAAGTAAGTTCAATTTTTATGCTAACGACCTTTTATCGGGAACTTCCCAAGCCATAAACGTATGCTTAAGCAGCATGTTAAATCCTTACATTTTTGCCGGGAACAAAATTGGCTTTGCGTACCCACTTGAGTGGGACGTTAGAGCGTTTCAAATTTTTTTTGTTACATTAGTATTACACGTTAACGTCCTTTTGTCGGGCAAAAATAATGAAAATCCTCGTTTCGTCTTTTGTTTACTGTTAAGTACGTCAGAATAACGTAGCCCCTTGAGACAACATGTATATCAAATGAAAGATATTTCTGAATTTGAACTTTTGACCCATTTTTCTCCCTTACGACCTTCCAGGCACCCGACGATTTCTAGTGCCATACATGTGTAGTTTTCATGTTTGCAGAGAAAACCACTTACACTTTAAATTTTCAGTCACACATGTATCTCCCATTACAGTTTTTGTTATAATAAAATACAAGTCCTTTACAGTTTTACCCAGAAGTGGGGGTTGTGGATCTTAATTTTGGAGTCTTCTTTTTTTATTTAGAGTTAATATCGGAGGAAAAGTCTTGACCAATCACCTCAAAGAAATCATCTCCTATCGTCAGCTACACGTCATGGATGAAACGTATGTCATGAACCAGGTGAAAGAAGATGTCTGCTATGTGTCTCTGGACTTCTTTGGTGACATGAAAATTGCAAAGTAGGTGACAATAAATTCTACCATATTTGTTTCGGTCTGAGTCATGATAACAGTCTTTTGCTCTGCCTAAACCTTTGAGACCTGTTTCCCAAGGGGCTTGTGCTCTCTAATAAATAAACAAATTTTTGCCTTCGGTGCTTGTTTTGAGAATTGACATCCCTAACTCCCTAGGCATTTTTGCAAGGATGTAACCCCAGTCCTGCAAAATCCTCCAACTGCCTCCATGTAAAAATAGCATACAGCCTCAGTCCTGCAAAATCCTCCGTTGTTTCTTGCATGTGGTCCTTGAAGGGGTGACTACTGCCTCAATCCTGCAAAATCCTCCAGCAATCACTGTCAATATGTCGAGCAGAGCCAGTGACATCCTGGAGCAGTGCGGAGGATTTCAATTATAATCTAGGGCTAAATTTATGCACGGCTGAGCATAAACAACACAAGGTCCGGCCCAAGACCTTGGCATAGTCAGATAGTGCATCCTCCAAAATCAGGCGCACATTTTTGCCATATAGCCTCAATCCTGCAGAGTCCTCCATTTTGCAAAGATAATTTGGAGGATTTGGGAAGGTTAGGGTTAAGGTCTCCCTCCGTGCACAGTTTAAACGTTGGCTTTCATGACTTGTTAGAATATTTTATGGGAGAGGATGTAAATTTAGATATTGTATGTTGCAGCTACTTTGATAGTGTCAAATGTATAGTATAATCCGGTGAGCAAAATTGGAAGCCATGTTTGAGGTGGTGCTACACCCGCCCGCACGCCGCACGCATTCTTAAAGATGAGTTGCGCGCACATTTTGGTTACCCTATTGGTCGAAGGAGCCTGGAGTGCATGCATACTACCTGAGCGCGACTCGCACGAGCCTGCTGCCACCACAGTGCCACCTCAGAAACTGGCTGTCACCGAATAAGTTTATAAGACGTCTTCGGTTTAAGTGGTTGTGGCTCCGAGTCCCACCCTAACAAGCTGGTGAAGTTTTGTCCTCGCAGGGTCTCAGAAAAACGATGAGTGTACAGTGCTCAGGAAATTACGTTGATGAGGAGCAAAACCCAATTTTAAAAGTTGCTTGCCTTCTTTAACCTGTCTTTACCATTTTGGCAAATATTTGGGATATCATCAAACGTGTAATATAGAGTTTTTCCCGATTTCGTATTGTCTTGAATTTGCAGATTAAAAGGCCAAGAGAACACAATTGTCAGAGACTACATCTTACCAGACTTCTCTCATTCCAAGAGGGGTTATCTGAAGCAGGATGACACCAAGCTAAAACCCCATGAACAGGTTAAACACAGACTTTATATGTATTTGCAGCTCTTCAATTTCTTGCTGATTAAAGTGTGAAGCAAATATCAACCACATATCCTTGCAAGGAGCACTCTGAATGCTCCGAAATCTTCCACTTCGCAGGCAACCAACAGCCCAGTGTGCTTCTAACTCTCATAATTATGTGACCGGCTCCACAAAAAAGGGTATTAAGTCGCGCTGTGCACTATCGTGTAATGGCCTGTTCAATATTGAGAGGGTCAACATTTTGTCAAAATGTGATTTTAATTTTTTGTCATGAATGACATCTTTACTACTTACAGTTTCAGGTTTCATTCACAGAAATGTTGATTTTGATGAACAAAGTGGAAAAAGCAACCATTTTGTGTGTATCATTCTGTTGTTCTACAACGAAGCCAGCTATTTCAAAGCCTGTTTTCTCAGTTGTGTGATTTGAACTCCAAGGAAGTAATTCGTATGCATATCTGTCATATCTCAAGAACGGGAGGGGCTATGGAGCTCTATTATATACCAAATGAAAGCTTACATTGTGGGCTTTTCAATCATGTATATAACTCAATTTTTTGCGACATAATACCCTTTTTGTGGAGCCGGTCACATATGGCATGAATTCCTATATAAACTAAGGTGGTCGGGCTTTACCTCTCTCCATCCTGCAATTCCTGAAAAACCTTGTGGATTTCATAGAATCTTAGATGGTTAAGGTAAATTATGTAGTTGTGAAGTTTATTAGACCGAATATGAATAAATGTACATGTAACTGCATGGGCTTGGTCAGTAACATCCCATTTTGAGTTTTTCGTGTGATTAAAGGACAATTTACTTTAGGCTGGTTTCTATGTCCTGACTCTATTGTCACTATATATTTGTCCATTTACAGACAGTTCGGATGAACAATGAAAGGTTTGCTGTGCCTGAGATCCTTTTCCACCCGTCTGATATTGGCATACAAGAAATGGGTGTCTCTGAGGCAATAGTGCATGTCATCAACAACTGCCCTACGGGTAACTTGCATTGTAGTCTCTACTGGATTGCGGGGATGGGCTGGGGTTGGTTGAGTTTGGGTTTGGGTTTGGGTTTGGGGTTTGGTTTGGGTTTGGGTTTGGGTTTGGGTTTGGGTTTGGGTTTGGGTTTGGGTTTGGGTTTGGGTTTGGGGTTTGGTTTGGGTTTGGGTTTTGGTTTGGGGTTTGGTTTGGGTTGGGTTTGGGTTTGGGTTTGGGTTTGGGTTTGGGGTTTGGGGTTTGGGGTTTGGGGTTTGGTTTGGGTTTGGGTTTGGGTTTGGGGTTTGGTTTGGGTTTGGGTTTGGGTTTGGGTTTGGGTTTGGGTTTGGGTTTGGGTTTGGGGTTTGGGGTTTGGTTTGGTTTGGGGTTTGGTTGGGTTTGGGGTTTGGGGTTTGGGTTTGGGTTTGGGTCTGGGTTTGGGTCTGGGTCTGGGTCTGGGTCTGGGGTTGGGTTTGGGGTTTGGGGTTTGGGGTTTGGGTTTGGGTTTGGGGTTTGGGTTTGGGGTTTGGGGTTTGGGTTTGGGTTTGGGTTTGGGTTTGGGTTTGGGGTTTGGGTTTGGGTCTGGGTTTGGGTTTGGGTTTGGGTTTGGGGTTGGGGTTGGGGTTTGGGTCTGGGTCTGGGTCTGGGTCTGGGTCTGGGTCTGCATTCAATAGGGGACGTTGAACAATAGAGGACAATAGGGTCCCCAATTCTCGAGGGTCCCCAATTTGGGGATGTCTGCAAAACATATGGGAGGTCTTCCTAAAAAGTTAAGGTACAAAAAAAGGGGGACAATAGGGGGTCCCTGATAGCAGGCAAATACACACTTGTATGGATTGGTTTGGGCAAATTTTAGTTTGGGATGGGATGGGTAGACCGGTGGTTTGGGATGAGTTGGGTTGGAATGGGTCTGTTAGGTTTGGTTGGGCTGGGCTGTGCTGTGGCTGGGATGGGATGGGTTAGGATGGGTTGTGTAGGATTGGTTTGGGTTAATTGGTTTGAGTGGGATGGGATGGGTTGACTGGTGGTTTGGGATGAGTTGGGTTGGGTTGGCTGGGATAGGCCGGGCTGAGATGGGTTCATCTGGCATAAAATGGCTTTGGCTGAGTTTGGTTGGACTTGTGTGGGTACCGGTTGGGTTTAGCCGAGAACACTTTCGTAAGCTAGTCTAAGATGTGTCTTTGGCATGTTTGGCTAGGTTTGCATAAACAATGACTCACTATACTATTTTTACACTTAACTTGAAACATGCATTTTTATATCCTGCTGCACTGCTTAACGCAGATTGATGTACAATAAGCCATTTTTCCTTTTCTCTGTAGATATGAGGCCACATCTGTTTAAGAACATCCTTCTCACGGGTGGCAATGCCATGTTCCCTGGCTTCAAAGAAAGAGTGGAGAGTGACGTGCGGTCCATGGCACCTGCACTGTACGACGTCCGAGTCACCAAACCAGTCAAGTAAGACACAAAGTACAACCAAAAGTAAATTTAACCGTCGGTTGTACCATCGTTGCCTTACTTGAAGGTGCTAGATATAGCGTAGTTAACAATAGCATGGTGGTAATAAAAGTTTGTTCAAATTAAAAGACAAAAGACAGACTGTGAATAATATGGCAGTAGATTTAGACCTCTATGTTTCCGTGACGGGTGATCCATATTTGAAGTGAATTTGAAGATGGACATCACAAAGGAATTCAAAAGGTGGGAAGGAAATTTATCTTTCCAGTAAAAGTGTTTTCGTGCGGATTTTCTATGAATGGCATCACCGTTTGAGAGAGAGAACACAAAATGTCAGAATTAGATGATCCTTTTCACTTTTGTTCTTCCTTCTTTGTTGTAGCGACTGTCATATTAAAAAAAAAGTTACAGGTGTGACCGTCTCCACTCATCTGAATTTTGGTATTTGTGGTTGAGAGACAGCCAAACAAAAAGTTGTTTGTGAAATTGGGGAAAATGGACACAAATGGACAAAGGTTTAACTGAACACTGGGAAAAGTCACAGGATACAGTCGTTCTGATTTAACCTGAATCAAAAGAAAGATAACATGACTAATGTCACTAAGTTTCGAATGTAACCTTATTCCGTTCCAGACACTTAATGCACAGAGAGGTTTGGGAAGATTTTTTGCAGGATTGAGGAAGTTACAGCACAGCAGCTATTACTGTAAATTGGGACTGATCAGCCCTTTCAAGTTCAAATACGTGTACACAGAATTATAGCCATTCGTTCTTGCACAACAGAACATTTGGGAGGATTCAGGAATTTTCCCTTGCAAAATGCCAAGGGACTAATCGTCTCTCTTTGATATTCTTATTTCCAGCCCCATCACACACGCCTGGGAAGGAGGGAAGCTGCTCAGCACGTCCAAGAACTTCTCCTCCTTGATGGTGACCAGAGACGAATACAACGAGCACGGGCACAGTATCTGCTGGGAGAAATTTGACGTCTGACGGGGGAGTGAGAAATCCTGCAGGGTGTTTGACAGTTGAAACGCGAGACATTTTGGGAATATGGAAAACGGACCTCAAATAACCCAAGCATTGACCAAATGAGGTGCTCTGTGCTTAACATGAGCCTAGATGGACTGCAAGGCTTTGTCCGAAACGGGCGTCTATAGAGCGGATGCATCTGTTGTCAGCATATTCCTCCATTTAGAGACCTAGAAGAATCAGGCCCAGCCTAAGCCCTGCTGTGGCTAGAACGTACAAGTAAATGCAGGGTACCCACAGTCATGGAAAAATCCTGGAATTTTGTATTTAGTTGATAACAAGTAATAAGAGGAAGTGTGGCCTAGCTTTTAGGGTTAGTGACTCATGATCAGAGGGTCAGGGGTTTGACCTTGTGTCCTTGGGCAAGCCACTTCATCCCCACTTGCCTCTCTCCGCCCGGGAGTATAAATGGTACCAGTATTAGCTGGGGAGTAACCTGCGATGGACTGGCATCCCATCCAGGCGTAATAGAAATATTCTCAGTCGTTTTACGCTGGCTGAAATCGGAGATAGACGCCGGCCTGATGGGCCACATTGGCTCGGGACCGACTTTACTTTTACTTTTATAAGGAGTAATGGAACGTTGATATTCCAAGGAAACAAGTCATAGAAAAGTCACGGAATCCTGCACAAGCCATACGTGATGTGTAATATTTTGGGTAAAGGAAGTGGCATCCCTTCCCGCAGTGTAATGACTGGCCAGCGTATGATGCCAAAACAGCGTAGGTGGTCATGGAAAGCCGAAATTAAGTCCGAATTAATTTTGAGATTCAGTCCGCAAAATAGATTCTTTTTCTTAAATTGCTATTTTTCCAGCAGTACAAAATGTATTCAAGTTTTAAATGAGACATCAACCAAAAAAAAAATTGGCAGTAGTTTACAATTTCAAATTATTGTGTCAGACAATAATTTCGTTCTCGCAGGGTAGGTTGGCTCCTGCCCCCCAGTCAGTATCGAATCAGTTTGTACCCAAAATAAGTACCTTTTTTTTCCAGAGGGTTGCAGTCGTCCAAACAAGGGTACAAAGAGATTTTTTTTGGAATAAAACATAAAAAGTTAAAAATGTATTAACAGGAAAACAAATTGAACTCGTTGAAGAGCAAAAAGGAACGCAACTTTAACTACTGTAGAAGAGTAGTGAGTCTGGTCAGTGTACTGCAAAACCAAAAAACTAGGAAATCAAATAAAATTGTACCAAATAAATCCAAATCCAGATGTAACTTTTTATTGTTTTAAACCCTCTTATTTACATTTCAAATAGTGGGTTTTTTTCTCGCCAAAATTAAACTATTCATAACACGACTGTGAGCGAGAGTTTGTGGCACTAAATGGGCCGACAGAAATAATGCTGCTTTCTTTTACATACATTTTTCAAATCTGGAGATGAAATTATTAAACCTGTTACAGAAAGTTGACTGTATTATTTTGTTCATAAGCCCAGACATGATACAGCTCAATTTTGTGATGTACCAAGCAAAACATGTTGCATGCATTAGTACTGAGAACAGGTCACAACAAATATACATTGCTTGACATTTCGCTTATAATTTTTTAACCAAGCAGCTCATATAATATTTCCTGGTGTATGAATAACACACAAGTACACATTGATTTATACAAATCTTGATCTCTCATTGTTACCATTGTTACCATTAAAGACATCTCGCAAAACCAGAAAAAGGAAAAGCATAATTGAGAAAGAAATGAAACTTGTATACCTAATTTGAGAAAACGGGTTAAATAAAAACATGTTTCTGAATAGGCAATTAACGTAATTTTGTTTTTACAAGTCAATATTAATTTGTATCCCCCCCCAAAAAAAAAATTCATTTTTTTTTACCCCAAAACAAAATCCCCTTTGAAGTAAATAGTGTTTAATTCCTAGTGAATACATAATTGGTTTCTATATATAAATACGTATATACAAGTAGACTTAATACTTTGGCATTGAAGAATATAGTTTTTTTTTTTAAGGGTATCAGCTAAAGATTGTCAAAAAGATCTAAAAAAAAAAAAAAAAACTTAAAGAAATGGAAATTTTTCGAGGTTGAAAACTGACACCTGCCCAAGCAATAGCCAATACATATGCCACAGTTTGTTTACATGCTTGTTTATTCGAGCTTGGTGTTAATAAAGCATGACATCATTAAGTTTCAAATCCATAGAAAAGTCAGTGGCAGCCTAATTTTGTTACCAAGGTAAATCAAAACTTCACTCAAATTAATTTTCTAGCAATCAACTGGACTGTACATTCAACTGGCAGCCTAATTTTGTTACCAAGGTAATTCAAAACTTCACTCAAATTTATTTTCTAGCAATCAACTGTAGTGTACATTCCCTCCAATTTCTCCAATGTTTCTCCAATTTATTGCCACTCAAAAGTGAACTTTACTTCTTTTTCTCAGTGTGTGTGATCATCTTTGTTGAGAATCGGTTACAGCTGGTTGCACTGTTCAAAAGAAAAAAAAAAAAAAGATCCAAAACAATTGGTGTGTAAAGTGTGATATAAATTTTTTTTGTGGGTTCCGTTGGTCCAATTTGAATTTTGAAGTAATCTAATCTTCAGGTTATCAGATACTCTCTATCAGGTAATCAGACGTGTCAGTGACAAGCTATGGGCTCTGTGCGCAAACAACAGAGGGAGCTTTTTTACCACATTCAAGATCGCAGTGGACGGGACACACCACAACTTATTTTATTCTGAATGTGCACATAGCCACAGTGTCTTTACGTGAGCATCATGCGTTGTCGGCAAGCGTTCAAATGTGTCTCCCAGTGGTCTCCCCCAAGTCTCACTTTCTTATCGTTGAGAGGGTACTTGTGCGACTGAGCTGTGACTGACTTAATTAAAAATCTGCTCTATAAGGCCTAAAAAAAAAAAAATAGTCGGTCTCTGGTCAGATAACGCGTTTTTCGGTTTTTTTTTTGTCTTTTTTTTTTTCAAGCTTGTATTATACAGTCAAGGTGGGTACTATTTTGCTTTTTTGGTATCCTCATTATACATTGGTGTCCTCCATAATTTGCCTTGGTGCCCTGTATCATTTGCCTTGGTGCAATTTCCCCATTCCTTGGTGCTCCTTGGTACAAATATTTGAGGAGGCGTGGCAATAGAGGGCGCTGTTGTAGCTTCCGTGTTAATTTGAAAGAAAAAAAAAGGTTGACGCGCATGATTAAAATCGACAAGCGGGCTGACCAGAGACCGAGTATTTTTTTTTTTTTTTGCCTAATTTGCAAAACTACCGCTGATGGAGATGAGAAAGGCCAACTTTAATGGTAGCATTATTTTTGCATGTGTATGATTGCAGTGTAGCTTGATCTAGTCGGTAGTGTGAAGGCTGTGCATTGCCAATGACCATTTTATAAACAGCGCACAGAAAGTACTAGTGAATAGCAGCACTATCTGTAAAAATGAGTCGAAGATTATTAGTTCTCAAAGGTAATATACAACATAAAATGGATGGATTTGGGGGTTAGTGTTTGAGGGTGAATATTGTTACAATGACCTGTGACTGACTCAAAGCCAGAGTCCATCATTTGCAGCCATCCAAAATGTAACTGGCGTAATTATTGTTGAAAAACATACTTGGTTGAAAGATAGTAAGGGGACTAAACTCCCTGTGAAATTATTCGAAATGGCAAGCTGTCATTCTGAAGAAAACTAAAGGAGGCCTTTCCAACGGTGCGTGCGTCTTAAGAAGCACTGTTGGAAATTTCCGTTAGTAGTTCGTTATTTTATTCGGCGAAGCGCGCGCAAGCGTTGACACGACGCACACGCGCGCACGGTTGCTATAACTCGTCGGAACAGTGCGTGACATCGCGTAGCTGCAATCGGCTCAGTGAGAACGTGTCTCAGACGCTGAATTCAGGCCCAATTCAAAACACGATTCAGCAACTTTTGATTTGAAATTGAGATCTAAGAATGTTGTTTTTCTCGAAATATACAGCTGAAGCTGAGCTGAAACTTCATCAGGTTAGTTGTTCAGCACCATTCTTTAGATTTTGAGCACTGTTGTTGCTTCAAACGAACACAATGCACAAATTACAAATGATGGACTTTACCTTTAAAAATCTGCTCTACAATTTGCATCACTACGGCTGATGGAGATGGGAAAAGCCAACTTGAATGCGAGCAATATTTTGCATGTGTATGTAGCTTGATCTAGTCAGTTGTGTTAAGGTTGTGCATTGCCAAAGACCTTTTTACAAATAGTGCACGGAAAGTGCGGGTGTATTGAAGGGCTATCTGTAAAAGTGAGTCGTAGATTATTAGTTATTTTATGGCAAATATTGTTACACTGACCTGTTTAAAGTTTTGTTTATAGATACTGGGAAAAAAAACAAGAAAAAATGTTCTTTTTTGTAGTCTGGTTCCCTGACCTTACTTCAGATGAAACATAATTTATAGAAGTTGGGGAATTGTCAAGCCAGGGAACCAGACTAGCTGACTTGCACCCAGTTACAGATGTGTAACAGATTGCATCAAAATGTGAACCAACTAAATCTGGTATAAAATTGGGGGCAGTATTTGAAAAAATGTTGTTTTTTTCCAACGATGGTCGGCCGACCATCGTCGGAAATTGATACAAAAATTCCACTTTTCACGAAAATGACAGCACACCAAGTGTTACATTTTCACAGGATGCACTTTGACACTCTTATTCACTTACAGTCAAGTAAGGCATTTCATAATAATTTGGTAGTTTTGTTTTCTGATGTTTACAACTGTTGTATATTACATGTATCTTTAAGCTAGATAAACTTGCTGCCATTTCTGCACTTGTTAGAGCAACTGCACAATTTATGGGCAGAGCAGATGTCTAAGCACTATTCCGCCAGTATGATCAATTTGAGGAAAAATGAAGCCAAAAATGCGACAGTGCCTTCCAATGAAATCTCACCTGCTTTTATAAAGCACTACTGCAAAAAAACAAAGAGGAAGCTAGCTACACCACACTACAGCATATTGGCAAAGTGCTTATCGTACACTTTTGGGTGGTGTTTCTTCAGGTCGTGTAGATGCTGCCTCTTGTCCTTCAGTGGTATCTTGACGTCGTCGATGATGGCGTTGGTCAACTCGCGGAGTGCTGCGTCCGTTCCCAATGTGCGTTGTTGGTGATACTGCTGCGGTGTCACTCTGATGCAGCAGGAGTCTGTGGGGACGGGAAATTGAGATAACAAGTGTCATTTGAGGAGATATAGTTTATCTTGCTGGCAAATTCTTCTTAGGAGCATCACACTCCTAATTTCCTAAGAATTAACTCTTTGACCATGCAATGGAACTGATTGCCCTTGACAAAACTATGATGCACAGATGACGTCAAGCTGATGTACAGTCGATCACCTTTATAACAAGGTCCTTTGGACTTTACCAAAAACCTTGTTATAATAGGTACCTTGTATTATCAGTAATGGAAAACAAAGAAAAACAAACAAAACAAAGCCTTTGGGCCTAACATTTTCCTGGTTATAAGCAGGATGTTGTATTATCAGTGCTCTTCTTATCAGGGTTCGACTATATAACTTATCTTTCCAAGTTGATGTATATAATTGCTTTCAATTTATTACCCCTTTTCAATGAAGTTTTTGTCTTTTGTAGTTTGACTTTTAACAATGTTTTTCAATTTCAAATATCCCACATTAAAAGTCTTGGCAAGGAAATCTGCTTGCCTGAAGTTTAGGTTGAGTATTTTTTTTTTCATTTAATCCTCTAAAAGATCATCATACGTGCAAAGCCCATGCCAGCTGCTTAAAGATGTCCTTCAGCCAATGCTTATGAGCTCCGTGCACAAGTACCCCCCCAACAGTAAGAAAGGAAGAGTTGGGGGAGACCACTGAGAGGGACATTGGAACGCATTGCTGCCGACGCCTGACGCTCACGCAAAGACACTATGGCTTTGTGCATACACGTGTGAACCAGTATGTACGTGTTCTACAAAACCCCTGAGGACCGACACACAAAGGGAGAACAACAGATCCTTTCAGTCCTCGGGAGTTGGGTCTTTTGTTGGAAACGGTCCTCTGTAGTAAGTTTGTGTGCTTAGTCTATGGGAGAGTGTTATATTACAGGGACAAAGGGAAACACAAAGCATTGTCCTCGAGGGTGTAGTAAATCAAGACTGTATGCACATGCAGTGCGTTGTCCACTGGGCTCTCGAAAGTGCTCAAACAGCGCCCTCTCTTGTCGCCTACGGAGCTCAGTGAAAGAGAAACCCACCTCTGCTTATGTCTCGGTGGCCAGCCTTTAACCGTGCTATTCTTCTCTGGGCCGTCTCCGCTACGAGGTGTGGCACCTTGCAGATGCGATCCATGCAATCCATCATGAAAGCCACCAGGTTCTTAGCTTGGACCGGGGACACGATCTTACCCGGGATGATGGCCGGTGTGAAGGAGGTGATCACCGTGATGCGGTTGTCAATCTGTGGGAAGGGGCAAGGAGGGGTTAGGGTCATATAGTGGTTGTGCTTCAAAAGAAGTGGGTGTTCAGTGGTCCAGAATTACAAACAGAAGTTGTGCCAATATCCTAGTTTGAATGGAATGCATGTTACTCCATGTGTTATGATTGGAACGGCAACAGATTCAGTGAATGGTTCTTCTATTTTTTGAAGAATGTGCTTATATGCAATCAATATTTTATCAACAATTTGACAATCTTTGGAACATTTCATGTGTCTTCTCAAAAATATTTTAATTCACCTTATCGAGCTCAAAGGCCAAAATGCAATCAGTGTTTTTTTTTTTTTTTTTTAAGGTTGTTAGGTCTTATTACCTGTGATACATACATATATCAAATCGCATGAAAGAGGCCTCCAGTATCTCTAATTAATTTGAACAATTTCGCAACCGGTATGACTCCACAAACAGCGAATCCTAACTCAATCATTCAAAGTTGTTGCCATTAAGATTCAATTTGCAAAATAGGGTATGATGCTTGAAATTCAACTAGGTGATGATAGTCTAATACATGTACTGCTTTTCCGAGGAATTACTGTGCTTTGATGGAAATAAATGTGCAATATTGTACAGACAGGCCTTCAATCAGTTGGAGAGTTTCCATGGCTCAATTTGGTGATATTAAATCTCTTAAATTGAAAGCAGTATGGATGAATACCTCATAGCTTAACTTGACGGCAGTTTTTGAGCTAGCCGAGGCCATGAACCGAAGCAGTTTCTGCAGTTCGTCCCTGTCTTTGGCTTCCAGCATCACCAAGACCAACTGGGCCAACTCGATAGCCCTGGAGGTCTTCCCCCGAGCGATGGACCCCAGTATGGCCATCAGTATCTCCTGGAGCTCCGGGGGAACCAGCGGCCGCCGGCGCTCCGTGATGTGATTGGACAGCGTCTGGAAGAGGAGGAGCTTGCGGGCGTGGACCGCGGACTGGGATTGGCTGTTGTTGGCGCTGAGGAAGCTGTCGGTGATGGTGGAGCTGTCTCGGTGTGACCGCAGGCAGGCCAGGGCTGATGATAGCCACTGATCCCTGGGAGATAGAATCACAAGGAGTTGAGATTATGGTCGGACACTGTACATTTTTATCTGGGAGCAAAGGATGTCCTGATATTGTAGTCAAATCCATCCTTACAGGTGCTTAACCAGTTCGCGTTGGAGGACGTGATAACACCCACTGGCTGTTTTAATACACAGGCACGGTTGGCAGGTCAAGACGTCAAGATTGCCTCGACTCGCCTCCGGGTGACGTCTTAACACGCTAATCCCTCGTGTCTTTTGTACACACACGAAGTCTGTGGAGGCGGACTGTGTGTTGATCTTGAACTGGCCGTTGTGCACGGCCTATGGTTGTACAATTTACGCTCCAGTGCACACCCCAGAGTACTGAAACATGTGAGGTTTCAGCAAGAAATATCGTACAAATGCTGTTGAAATGACTCTTGCGAATCAGTATTTGTGGCATTTGGCTATATATCAGAAGTTGGCTGAAAAATTTTGCCTTTTGCGAAATTCTGAATTTTCGGCAAAAATAATCGAAGTGGTTAAAAAGACCACCACAAGTCATCCTGTCCGAAATCAAGTTGTATGTATTCTTTTGTTATTGTTCGTCTCATGTTATTGTGACCGGACTTGTTAATGAACTTGCAATGGACTTGACTTCAACACCAGAATGTCCTCAGTACAACTTTTGTACTATACGTACGTTTCTGATTTTCTGAAGGAATGTGAAGCTTTGCATGTGAAAGCACAAAGATGATTTTGCTTTTTCATTTTGTGCAACTAGCAGACTATTTTGTGTTTGTTTCAGTGTTTTATTTCATTCTCTGAACACGGACATGTGGTCTTGGCTGAAACGCTTCTCCGACTCCTTTCAGCCAACAGGCAATAATAATTACAAGCGAATAATTTCACATAATAAGATGGTAAATCCCATCACTACTTCAATAAAATATTCTTGGAAAGAGTTGAATATAATTAAGTTGCAAAACTTTCTGTTTATCCTCAACGGAATGCACATTTGTACAGTTTACAAATTCCAAACTGCAAACCATTTCTTTAGTGTTTTAATCTTTAATAACATTGTAAATTTTCCACACAAAAAATGAAAGAAATGAGGTGATCTATATGTATGTCAGAAAAAGGCAATAAAAATTTCTCAATTGTTTTCACTTTATTTTCAGATTTTAAACTATTTTAAGAGAACCAGAAGAACAAGATTTGCTAGTAAAAATGGTTAAGAAAAATAGTTGACTTTACAGTGATGATTGAGACATACCGAGTTGCTTCTTGATGATTGCTGTTCCCCCTCTTGATAGCACTCCCACTGGAAAAACTGGGCACTACAAAGTTCTCTGTGCAGGACAGGATATCTTCCAGCATGGGTATATCCACTAATTCTAAAAGCCTCTGTATGGTTGACTCCTTCCAGATCTCATTCACATCTTTGAAAGTAGAAGAAAACATTCTGAGTCGATTGGTGCAAAGTCTCCTCACTGCTATTAATAACTTGACCCATCCTAAGACAAGAAACCACTGTAACGAGTAACTACATACATATACTCAATGAGTTATGAGTAAATAGGAATACTCAAATTCTTTCAAACTTTCCCCATAATGTCAGTGACTGAACAGATCCTAAATTGCAGTCATATGTGACCGGCTCCACAAAAAAGGGTATTATGTCGCAAAAAAGTGAAATTGAGTTATATACATGGTTGGAAAGCCCACAACGTAAGCTTTCATTTGGTATACAATAGAGCTCCATAGCTCCTTCCGTTCTTGAGATATGACAGATTTGCATATGAATTACTTCCTAGGAGTTCAAATTACACAACTGAGAAAACAGGCTTTGAAATAGCTGGCTTTGTTGTAGAACAACAGAACGATGCACACAAAATGGTTGTTTTTTCCACTTTGTTCATCAAAATCAACATTTCTGTGGATGAAACCTGAAACTGTAGGTAGTAAAGATGTCATTCATGACAAAAAATGAAAATCACATTTTGACAAATGTTGACCCTCTCAATATTGAGCAGGTCATTACACGATTGTGCACAGCGCGACTTAATACCCTTTTTTGTGGAGCCGGTCACATATGATTGGCTGCTTTTGAGTAATGAGTCACTACATGTACTCAGTGAGTAGTGAGAAACCATAGGTAATCACCAAGCTCTGCTTTCAGGCTATCCCGTGATGACACTGATTGGACATATCCTATATCACAGTCGTATGATTGGCTGCTTTTGAGTATTGAGTCACTACATGTACTCAGTGAGTAGTGAGAAACCATGTGTACTCACCAAGCTCTGCTTTCAGGCTATCCAGTGATGACACTGATTTGACAGACCCTACATTGCAGTCATTCGATTGGCTACTTTTGAGTAATGAGTCGCTATAACATACTCAGTGAGTAGCAAGAAACCATGTGTACTCACCAAGCTCTGCTTTCAGTCTATCCCGTGTTGACACTGATTGGACGGACCTTACATCACAGTCATTCGATTGGCTACTTTTGCCGCTACTCGTCGATTTGGTCTCACTTTGCTGGGACACCTCTGAAGTAATGCTGGCTGTCTCTAGATCCTTATTTCTGAGTATATAAAGAAAAGGTAGCCCCAAAATAATGGATAGTATTTTGCAATGTAAATGTACATGACCAGCCTTACGAAACTTGTACAATTAAGCTCATGCTGAAAAGTCAACTTGACTCATTCTGAGAAAAAAAATATCAAGTGAGGTTATTTTGCTGACACTGTCGATATTTAAGGTTTTGTTGGGTTTGGCCTGGTTTTTCCTGCACTAGGCAGATTGTTTTTAGAATAAAATAAAACACAACTGACCTTGTTTCCGGCCGCTTCCCGATTCGGAAACTGCCAATGCTCCTTCTACTTTTCTTGTATTCAGGTTGCGACAGGGACTCCTGTGAACCTGCATCACTGCACCAGCAATGTCCAGGGGAAAAATGAGAAAAACATCTTATTGGACAGGCAGAAAGGAGTCAAGAAATGAAAATGAAATTTCATTGAAAGGGATCTAGATTTTAAAAACAACATTTTGTCGCGTCAGTGCAACAAGGTCGTAACTCCATTGTGCAACAAAATCGTATCTCGCGCGAATACGCTCCGTGCAACAAGGTCGTATCTCGACGTCCATTGAGTTTGCATGTACATCCAGGTTATTTTAAGTGCGATACGACCTTTTGACATTCTGAAACATGGGTTTCATTTACGGCCAATCTTGGGAGATATGACCTTGTTGCACGGACATGATGATTTCATTGTGGTATGATGGAAATATGCCGCACGTGCAAAATGTAACAAGAAAAAGACAATGAATATTCTCCCGCAAGATTTTATCGAAGGAATCGAGTACTGAGTATACATTGCTTATAAAATTGTGTAAAATACTGCCCTGCAGCAATGCACGCCAAGCATAAATTAGCTGAAAACCAATCACAAGCAATATACAGCATATAACATTTTAGCTGATAAATTGTTTCCATCGTAAGCAAATTAGTGTGCTCGCAAGTTTCATGACAATGGCCCCCAGTACCAAGACACAAGGCTGGTATTCCGTAACAGTCTTCACTTACTTTGATTCTATCTTGTGCTTGCCCAGTCTGAAGCTAGCTCTTCTCTTGTCCCCGGACTGAGGGATACTCTCAACTGACCCACTAATATTGTAACTGTAAAAAAGATAAAGGAACAATGGGCTTATGGGGAGTCAGGTTGGCGTAGTGGTACTTTCCTCGCCTTCCACCGCTGTGACCCGGGTTCGAATCCCGCCTGGGCCAATATGTGGATTGGGTTTTCAGTCCCTGCCTGATTCCGTGGGTTTTCCCCAGAATATTCTTCTGGGCTTTTCCTCCCACCTCTAAAACTGTAACTTCTTCTCATTGTCTTCTCTCCACAGGTTTCTTCAGGCTTGCGAGCTACAGTGCCTAGGGCGCTTTTGAGGAATCCTTGGTTTCATTACCAGAAATAATTAATAATAATAAAAATAATAATAATAATAATACTGAGGCTGAATAATTTCTCTGAGCTTGGTACATCAACTGAACTGCTCACATTTTTTGAATAGTCCAATTGATAAAATGCTTTTTGGATATTCGGTTGAGAATCGAATATTTGAATTGTTTGTATACTCGGCACAGCTGTACCCCTTTTTGTGACACTCTGCAATTGCAAGAAAATCCAGCAAACCTGTTCTCTGTCTTGAGTCGTCCCAACCCAAAACTGTTCCGTTTACGTTTCTTCTTTTCCACCGGTGTGTCTAAGTGATTTCCTTCATCCTTCCTGCAAGTATGATAAAAAGATTTTCATTAAAAAAATACATGTTCGATGCGAAGAGAAAACGTTTATTTGGTTTGTGCTGATTTAACTGTTGTAGTCTCTAAAAAAAAAAAAATATTACAAAAATTAGGACAAACAATTTATATTTGTGGAGTGCCGTGGCCTCGTGGTTAAGGGCACTGAATTCGTGGTCTGCGGGTAATTCTGCAGGTTGTGGGTTCGAGTCAAGCCCGGGGTCATGGTGCGTGTGCCCTTGGGCAAGGCACTTTGTCAGTCATTGCTTCTCTCCACCCAGGAGTAAATGGGTACCTGTGAGGGCAGAGATGGTTATTGTGATTGATTTAGCTTGCTTGCGCCTAACAGGCAGCATCCAGCTGTATACTCCCCAGGGAGCTGAGATGGTATTTAGAATGTTTAATTGGTCCAATGATCAGGGGTAATAATAATACTGTTAAAGTGCTGTGATTTAGTTTACTAAAAAGAGCGTTCTTAAATGCCGATTATTATTATTTGTAAGATAGTAACCGCTGATGTCAGTGTTGATAATTTCTCACTAACCTCGACAATACTTCTGCTTTCAATTTGCCCAGCCCAAAGCTAGATCTCTTTTTCTTCTTGCGTTCGAAGAGGTTGGTGAAACCCGACCCACCGTCATTTTCGTCACATCTGGAAAATGTGTAGTAGTGAATGAAGTCTTAGGCAGAACAAAACAATTTTGTTTTTCAATTTGAGTCACAGTTTTTCTCTCCCCAGCAAAGGATGCACGACAAACAGAAGACTCTAATTGTCTCAAAAGATAGAATTTTTGTTTATTTCCTAAAGCTTGTTCAAAATTAGCACCAGATTGCAACTAAAAGTAAAAAAAAAATATTGGCGTTTTTTGCTGTAAAGCAGTACTTCCATGGATACTCATCAGGAAATCATAGGACTGCAACTGCATGTACGGTAGGTCTTCTGGCAAACATTTGCTGGTTTTTTTTCTTCAAATTGAAAAGATATTATGAATGTTTAAAGCTACTGCAATTAAAATTTCAAACAATTATCAGTGCTCTCATCTGTATATCTTTCCAGTGTCTTAAAGGGAATATACAACATTTGCAAACCGAGACAAATAAAACTACCAAGTTTTTACGAAATATCTTACTAGGATATTAGTAAATGACAGTCTAACTCATCCTGTAAAATTATGGCACCTGGTGTTAAGTCATTTTCAAGAAAATGGTATTTTTGTATACATTTCCAACGGTGGTCGGCTGACCACCGTTGGAAAAAACTAACTATTTTTTCAACTACTGCTCCAAATTTTGTTTGCTATTGGTTACATGTTCATGAACAGGTGCAGGCCAGCTAGACTTATTCCCTTACCTTACAATTTCCCGGCATCTATAAATTGATCCATTTTATCTTTAGTAAAATCAGGGAACCAGACTACTTGAACATTTTGTTTTTCTTGGTTTCTCCAGCACTTTCGAACACAAAACATCAAACGTGTCAGTGTAACAATATTTGATCTATAAAAAAAGTAAGACTGCTGCAAACTGCTTACTGACTGGGTGGACCTGAAATATATAAATCTAAAAATTAATGTGGCCTGACGTTGCGAACTTAGCAAGTTCTTCTTCAGAGGCTAAAACAGAAATGACAGAGGTACATACATTAACATGGGAGTGCACACAAACATGCAGGGATGAAAGAAGAAACACAAAAGGAGGATTAGGTGGGAAAGGTGTGGAAAGATGCAGGGGAGGGTGGATGAGAGAACAAAGAAACAAAGGGAGATGGCAAACCACAAGGGGTCTGGTATGAACAGGGGAGGGACCAGAAAGGGGAAGGATCAAAGGTCACAGGGAGTGGGAACGGACAAAAGAGTGTGGGAGTGAAGGGGGATTATGCGGGGGGGGGGGGGGGGGGGGGGGGGGGGAAACAGTATGGAGGTGGAAAGGGATGAAAGATGGGGAAAGATGGGTAAACACAAACAATGAAGACCAGGTGGATTATCTGTAACAGAAGACAATGGAGGAAGAAAAAAATTATTAATCATTTCCAAGTTGGATGTTGAGACCATGTGGTTGAATAGTTCGAAGACGATTCATCCACACTTTCTCTCTGCTGAGGCGAACTGAGTCCTTGCGATGGCCAAGAGATTCAATGCCCTGCAAAATCATATCAGAAATGGAGTGGTTAGGCAGGTTGAAGTGATGACCAACAGGGGTGTCTAGTTTCTTGGTGTTGACCGTAGACCGGTGGGCATAGAAACGCTTCTTGAGCGTATTCTTAGTCTCACCTACATACTGCACTCCACAGACCCTGCAAGAAATGAGATATATGACATTAGGGGTGTTACAAGTGATGTTACCAATGGTTCTGTGGGTAGTGACAGAAGAGTGGCCAGAAAAGGAGTCAGACTCCTGGATATGAATCTGGCAGACAACACATCTGGAACTGCACTTGAAAGTACCGTGCTGGGTGGGAGGGGATGCATCTAAGGATGGGACTTCAGCTCGAACAATCAAGTCCCGTAGATTTCGAGGACGCCTGTAAGCCAATGTGGGGCCGTTGGGGATGGCGCGGGCAAGGCGATCTGAAGTATGGAGGATATGATGATTGTCATTCGTGATTTTGCGAATGGGAGGGAGATTGGGGTGAAACGTGGTAACCAAGGGAATCATGGGTTTGGCCATGGCATCAGGGGCCTTTCCCGTGAGAGCTAGATTTCTGGGGATAGCTTTAGCTCTGGCAATGGCACGATGAACTTGGCGAGAGCTGTGACCCCTGGCCACCAAGTTGTTCCTCAGTATCTGTGTATGGCGGGAGAAATCGGAATCATTAGAACAAATTCTTCTATTTGATCTATTATACTAACCCCTCAAATAGTTCATTTCTGAAAATTACAGCAAAAGTCAATGATGTACATTTCCTTTAAACTCAAAATGTTCCTGGTGGAATGCCACAGGTGCATACAATTTTGAGATGCACTCTTTTACCCTACAATGTACGTACTGCGCACACGTAAAAGCAAAACCAACAGTTGTGTTTTAAACACAAGTCTTGTATTGTCTCTGCCCTGTCTACAGAAAAAAAAAACACCTTTCAAGTTTTATGAGTCCATCTACAAATGTTGACCTTGAAGACTTACCTATGATCATTCTTTGACTTGCCAGCACCAAAACTGTGCCTCAGTTTTTTCTTCCTATCAAAATGTGGGTAACTTTGCCCTTCATCTACGGCCGACCTGCAAGTAAATACGAGAACAACAATTACCAAATTATCCACACAAATAAACACTGTCAATTGGAAAATAATGAGTAAAGTGAAGAATTTGTATTACCTTTTCTCTGCCTGATATCTGGCCGTGTCTGACAGACGTTGACTACTTCTGTGGGTTTTGTTGACATCTCTGACAAATCTGTTCATTCAAAACAGATTAATCTCAAAAATTTAGCATTTGGCACTAAAATTTATTTAAAGTGCAACAAATATCTGGTTATCATCCGCACTGCTCCCACGTGTGTTAAAGTGAGTCAGAAGATTTTGAACAGGCATGCAACTGGGAAATCACAAAAAAAGAGGAAATTCAAATTTTTCCCAGACTTTGTACAGTGTTTTTCTATTTTTAATGGCACACATGGGAAGTAAAAAGAGGAAATCAGCTGATCCGAGGAAAAGTTGCATGCCTGTTTGAAGGATTGAGGCAGTGGTCACCCCTCCATTGAATAAATTCAAGAAATAACGGATGATTTTGGAGGATTGAGACTGTATCCCATTTTTTATATCCCTAACCCTCCAGGGTATTTTGACTAGAAACCCTGCCATGTGCAGCAACATGCAGTGTAGCAAGATCCATCAGGTCAAACGCCTCAAGGCCAAACTGCCTCAGAGTCTGTGGTCCCCGAATGCAGCAGGACACAACCGATGCATTGTTCCATGGGACTAGCTCTCATTGTCTCAGAAGTGGCCGTCTATGCACTGGTGTTGGTAGCTGAATGCATCAAAGTGCACCAGACTTTTCCCACCTGATACACTGTGTTGCGTCTGGCAGGGTTAGGGATATGGTGGCAATTTGATGATTTAGGATGGTCCCTAGACAAAGGGGCTAAGGGCTCAAATAGGGTTTTAATAAAAGATCAGTAGCTACCATGAAGAAGTGAAGTAAACACTGTTCAAAAGGTTAAACGTTTAGCACGACATCAGCAAGACAGATTACCTGTAAAACTGAGTGCTGGTATCTTGGAAGGTTGGTTTAGTATTCAGGGGTGGCTGAGATATAGTCAACACATCCTCAAATATATTCTGCTCCAGAAGTAACTGAAAAGATTAGAAACAGCAAAAGGGTTACAATTAATATACATGAATCAGCATCTCATTATTAGAGTGTCAGATGAGGCTTTGCCTTGCCCGTTTCGCATGGGAAGGCAGCTCCACCACCTGTCATGTAATCATGTTCACACTGTCAATCTTGGACGTCCTATTGTCCCTCTTTTGTTTGTACTCCAATCACAGACGTATGCTGGGAATCGTGGACGATATTTTTCTCTTTTGTTCTCTGGTATTTTTCGTCCACGGTTTGAAAAGATGAACACGCCCACGCACCCACGTTTATTCATGGTGTCAATTGACGATTTTCTTTTGTTCCTCTTCCCTTTTCCTTTGTTTGTACCTTAACTTTTTCGCAACAGCACTCATTGGTTTTGTACACGTTTTCTACTCAAGGTCGTCCTCAATTTGGTTCCTGTCCTCGATTCACTGATGATGTTGCACGTGTGTGTCCTTGATTTACACCATAAACAAACGCGCACACCCATGTATGCAATCGCGGACCTTTAATGGCATACGTGTGCAGTGAAAAGCGAGGAAATCGGCTGATCCAAAAAAAGTTGCATGCCTGTTTTTACCCCACCACTACATCATTTCTTTAAGTTGTGGGCACCAAATTGGTTTTGCGTATTGCGTTATCCATTTCAATAGCTACTTGAAGCGTATAAAATTTCAACGGATAGCGCAGTATGGATAGCACACTGCGCAATACGGATACATTGACATATGCACGTTGAATTCTACCTGACACAATTTGACAGCATTTTCCCTGGAGATGTCCCTCTCAAACCCACTCTGCTGCAAATATGGAAGCAGGACGTCTACAGCATCGGCACCGGCAAAGCACCCCTCATATCGCTTGGTTTTGGTCTTGTGCGGCTTGACGCTGACGTTATTCTGCAGGTGTTTGATGATGCTGTTCCAGCGCTGCGTGGCTCGGAATGGACCATTCATTGCACCTGCAAAACAAAATGCACTGAACAGTTGAACTTAGACTGTTGGCACTGGCAGTGGTAGGCCTAGTAGTTTTGATTTGTATATTTTATTTATTTTAAATTACGCAGTGGCTATCGTTACGGCAGGCGTAACGCATTTCCCATTTTCTATCGTTACGGTAGTACTGCAACTTTTATAAAAACATGAGAAGAAAATATAAAATTAGAAGGAAAAAAAGTGAATTTGAACGTTATGAAATTCGGACTTTATTTCCCATTTAAAAAAAATCCTCCAAAGCCTCAGGTTAGAAAAGGAAAAAAATTCGAGTGCAAAACTGAGATGCGAACCTGCAATCTCGCGGTGCAAAATCCTACCATCTATCGACTGAGCTGTCGCACTGCTCGCTAAAATGTGGGGAAACAAATAATTATATACCTGCGTGCGTATCAAAAAAGTATCGTAGAGGGCGCTAAACAACGGCTGCCGTAACGATAGCCACTTCGTTGATCAAAACAAAACAGGGGCCCTACACTTCACGATCGCCCAGTACTTAGGCTTATCATGGAGCTATAAAAAGGAGCTCCATGGGCCTATCAACAGTACTATCATGCCTATCGACTATTGTGTTACCGGCATGTGACCGGTGACAGATCGACAAGGCGACATTCGCCTGTTCGGTGGGAATCGTTCGGTGTACCGGCGGTGACGGATCGACAAGGCGACATTCGCCTGTTCGGTGTTCCTCTGTTCATGTTGACTAAAAAAATACTTCGCATTGGAATTTACATTTAAGTTTTCAATTCACTACATAATGCTATCTAGGAACTGTACGTAAATTTAAGAACCTAACGCTCATTTTAAAATTGTGAACTTTACAGTTTTATTACCAGATTCATCACCAAATTCTGATGCAGATTTCGGTAGCCAGCTGTGTGTCTCGCGCAGCGGATGTACCTTCAACAAGGTCGCCATTTTGAAATTGAATTTGCCTCGGTTTATTTGGGTCACAACATTGTCACAAACTGGTAGATTTCTTACCCCTCTGCACTATGTAAGATAAATAAATCTTAAATAAAACATAAAGGAACAAGAACCAAAATGTAAAAAGCAAATTATCAAAATGGATCAAGGTAACACGTTTCTGTTTTGGTGTAAATAAGGAATATATAAGATCTCCATAAAAGTTTTACCTTTCTATGAATAAAATGGAATGTTCCAAATTGCTCTGAACTTTTCTTCACAAAAGAGGGCGCAATTCATCGTGCGCCACAGACAAACTTTTGACATGCTAATTTGTTGCACTTGTTGCACCGCCAAAGACATGAAAGAGCGTGGTACTTGCTTTTTATGGCCACAAGTGTGTGTGGTGGATGCATGTACGAATGGGAAACACGCCTTCCTCCATGGTATGTCATGTATGTGTAAGTCCTAAGGTCATGAAGGTGGTAAGATTGTGCCAAATTTCTGACTGTGTATGTCATTTAATTTATGGCGACTTTACTTTACTTTAGTTCCCATTGGTAATGTTTTGTTCCAATCATTTTGCCAATGGCAATGAATGTTTGTCTGCAACTGCAAGGCTGCATTTAATAAATTAATTGTCAATATTGTCTTGATGTTTTTTGTTCATCATCATCATCATGTAAGCTTATGAAGTCATCATGGTAATGGAAGTTGTACTTATAGATAAACATTTAACATTCTAACTTACAGCCTAAGTAAGTTGCCTAATGAGTAATGTGTTTCACTATTATAATGCGCCATCTTGTTCACGAGGCAAGAAGAACACGCATTGATTGGAAGGGTGCATAGTCATTATGACTTGGAAGCGCCAAAGTTTTCCATTGACGATGCGCGCATACACAGCAACACTGTAAATTTGCCCTGTCGGCAAGATAACACATATTAGTTATTACCATTAATTTAAAGCACAATATTCGTCAAGCGTCCGAATTTTGCAGAACCGGGTTATATTTGTTTTCACGAACTGATGCCCGGCACAGCTAGTGCGGCACTTCTAGGGCGAACTCCGTACATTTTAGTTTTCACAAACTGACACTGATCTTAATTTCACATTTGTTTTGTGTGTGTAAGCCCACAAGTATGTAGCTGAATGGATTAAATTCATGTGAAACCTTTCAAATGTTGCCGCAACATCAGGCTTGGTTCTAGAGGCTATATTTTTTTGGGAGGGGAGGGGGAATAGCTGGGAAGGATCCAGAATTTTTTGCAAGGAGGCGTGCTGCAATGTAGACCGTTTTTTTTCCGGGCACTTAGGCCTCTGAAAATCAAAAAGTGGTGGGGGGGCTCCTACCATATTTTCAATGGGGAGCGCTGATAAAATCATTAAAAAAAATCTTTGTTTTGTGTTCTCTACTTGAATAAAATCTTCTATTTCTAAGTTTGATTTTCTAAGTTATTTTTGAGTGAATTTTCCTAAATTGATCAAAAACAAGAAAAGAACGTTAAACCTTGATGCAATATAATTGACCTATCGGGATAAAATCGCATTAGAATCATGTTAATGCAGCTTGTGAAATATCGTCCAATAACATGATACAAATGGACGCGAAACGTGCAAAATCTGAGACTAAATTATTGTGCAAAAATGCCATAGGGTTGTCTAAGGGGCGTGGCTAACCCGCAAATGGTGATAAGTCAATTTATCTGTTTAAGATTTTTAATTTTTTTTCATTTGTGACCATTCTTGTTAACTCTACTAGTATTAGGCCCCCCAAAAAATACTAATTCTGCTTCCGATTAGGCCTATAGACATGACATTTGAAAATAGGGTAGGTAAGTAGTGAAATTTAATTTTTTGGCATTTTTTGTTGTTGTGTGTACGATCATATGGAGGTGTCTGCGTGTAGTCAAGGGTAATAGGTAGTAATTGATGGATTTCATTTATTTCCCCTCATTTTTTCCCAAAGAAAATTAGGGTAGGGGCTGTCAAAATAGGGTAGGTAGGGTAACCCGAAGTTTTGCCTTATCTGAACCAGTCTGTAAAAAAAAAATAAAAAAAAAACAGTTTTGTATTTTCCGATTTTCTTTTTTAATTGCAGGCCCAGCTTTGACTGAGTTTCCTTTGTTAACCTGTTTTAATAACAGATTAATGGCTCCGTCAGCAGCTGACTATCCAATGACAGTTCTGCATGAACAACCTCCACTGGTATAATCAGCTCTTCTTTCCTGCACCAGTAATTTTTAATGAAAGGAAAAGGCACTTAACGCTTCCAGGCTAGCACACTGTTCACAAAGCAAATAATGGTGTAAATTAGCTGAAACTCATGTACATGTGTATGTACCTGCATTTTAAACACTTTGGCTACAAATGCACCAAAGATTACTACCAGTAGATTTTCCAAACCTGTACTGGTTTTGCTGATTACTTTGTGAGCACTTGTAGTTTGCCCAGAACCTCCATGTATGCGTACATGTATGTGCTTCATCGAACTTCCATGTACATGTACCAAGTCTGCTCTACACAGTTCGGCTTTTGATATTTCATCACTTTTTCATGGCTGACTTCTCATCGTGGAGTTATCACTTTCTCGTGGAAAGTTTGCAAGTTTTTGACTGATTATGCTGGAGTATGATGGACGGTTCCTGTTGATCGTGTGACTGGACTATATGTACATAGGTGGAAAACGAGGCGGGGCAACATGCAAGAAGAACCAGCAAATTATGAGGAAGGTATGTGAAATGTTATCCAGTCATATACCAAACAGCTGTTGTACCAGGTGGTGCAAAAAGAAGGAAACCCACATTTGTCAGCAATTTTCACCTACTTACTGAGCATATTTCAAAAGTTCTATTTATAGTGGTATTACAATATTGATCTTTAAACCTAAGTGATGCAAAAATGATTGCAAAAGCATATTTGTCTCCGAGATATGGTAGTTTAAACCTGTTTGTCCGCGGACGGCTTTATTCCATCCGCTTGACTGAGCTGCAAAGCTTGATTTGAAGACAAAAAAAACCACTACACTAGACTTACGTATAGACAACAGTGAGTTTGGTGACTTGTTCAAATGAGCATAATTAATAACATTATTTGTGCGATTTTGTTAAAGCTATAGTCCATCATTTGCAGCCATCCGAAAAGTAACTGGCGTAATTATTGTTGAAAAACAAACTTGGTTGAAAGATAGTAAGGGGACTAAACTCCCTGTGAAATTATTCTTTCTGGGAAGCTGTCATTTTGAAGTAATCAACAAAAGAAGGCGTCTTAAGACGCACAGTAGGAAAACTTAAATTAGTAGTTTGTTTTGTTATTTGGCGAAGCGCGCGCAAGCATTGGCACGACGCACATGCACGCGTGGTTGCTATGATTCGTCAGATCAGTGCGCGACGTCGCATAAAGCTGCAATTCAAAACAATTCAAAACATGATTCAGTAACTTTTGATTTGAAATTGAGATCCTAGAATGCTGTTTTTCTCGGAATATACAGCTGAAGCTTAGCTGAAACTTCATCAGGTTAGTTGTTCAGTATCCTTCATTAGATTTTGAACACTTTTGTTGCTTCAAACGAACAAAATGCACAAATTACAAATGATGGACTATATCTTTAAAGATTTTTTTTTTCACCACGTATTGTTGAAGAGCCATACTTCACTACATTATGAAAAAAAAAAGTTCAAATAAGTGAAGTACATGTAGGTACAATGCAGGTTGAAATTCCTGTCAAAAAGTGGGTTTCCTTCTTTTGCATCACCCTGTAGCTTGAAGTTTGGTGAATCCAACAAGATCCAAAAGTTGGAACAAAAGGTTTTCTGTTCACTGCTCAGATCAGCAAAATTCAACAGAAAAAGAAATTGCCAGTGGACCTTGATGGATTTACTGGTGTGCATACATTTACAGGTTCCAGTAGTGTGGGAACCAGTCCTTATTGAACTATAACACGAGTACTGGGGTACCAGTGAAAAAACCCAACCCCAAAATTCAAATCCGGGAAGTTGTCTGAGCTTTATTGTGTAAAATGTGACTTTTTGCAAGCAGCATCTCTCACGTTAATATGCACATAAATGTGAAATCTGATTTGGTTTTCCATGTTGCCTGGTTTTCATTTTGAAAATTCCTCTCAAATGACATTCATTCAAAACCTTTCTTTTTCATTGTCTGAAAAGTTGCTAAGTAATTTGTAAAGTTGGTTATGGGTACCAGTTTCCATAATGTGGACGGGTTCCTTATGTCAACGGTGGGATACCGGTACCTGGGTACCCAGTAGGTTTAGGGAAATAAGCAGATCTGAGTTTTTTTTAATCAAAAGGTGCTACATTTTTGAATTATTATTTAAAGTAACCTGTTGACACCATTTGTAAATTAACTCCCAGGTTAACGATGAATATTCCAACTTCTGAAATTTGGGGTTAGAAATCCAACTAAATGTAACCAAGATTGTTTGCCCGTTACATGACAAGTACACGCCCAGTCAAGTTGCCACTGGACTTTCCCTTTATTTTATATATTTTATTTCTCCCCCCCCCCCTTTTTTTGGAGGTTGTCACTATCAACGTTTGGGTGACGATGCAATGTCAGTCAACCTAGGAGAAGACTGCCCCTTTAACAAAATGTACACATCATGCCATGGAAATTGGAAAGTTGCAACATTGTACTTGTATACATGTATGTACACATACGTGTTTTGTACAAATGCCAATATTCATCAGCCTGTTGCACAATGTACGTACATTTGTACATGTACACGTATGGGATGTACTGTACATGTTCTATATTAATTATGCACTTTTCGGTTTGTTATGTGAACTGCCACTACACACTTGTTCCATAATTGTGGGGACCACACACCTGATGAGCAATAGCTACCGGTATTATGGGGATCAAAGACATTACGGAGACAGCAGAAAGTCCCAATAACTTGGTCCTAATGTCCAAAAATATATAGAAAACTTCCCTGTAACATGGTGCCGGCCAGGGCACGCAGTAACCCTAATCCCTTGGGTATATTTACTAGAAAGTATCCTGAATCCGCCAAAATCCATCAATTTTGCCATGCCAAACAATTTCGGCAGCCAGTGAGTCTATCAGAATCCACCAGTTAACCGGGAGTAAATCTGTTGAGATCCTGAATCCATCAAAGTCCCCCAACTGCTCAATATGGAGGTATCCTGAATCCATCAAAATCCTGCAGTAGCCTAGGCTTCATGTCCGAATCCATCACAATTCCCCAACTTTTTCAATATAGAAGTAGGCCTATCCTGAGTCCGCCGAAATCCCCCCAAACAGGGGTGTGGATTTTGATGGATTCAGGTACATGTGAGTTAGGGTTAATATTTCACTGACTATTGAGTGGAATTATTCCTACACAGACTGACAAAAGTTGGCAGGTGATACACATGTACATGTACATGTAGCTGGTGGTGATACCGGTTGGGTACCCTGCTCCTAAAAGACAAAAAATGCAAGGGTACCCTGTGTCTAAAAAAAACACCAATAAAAGAGTGGCTGTGCACTTATTTAATTAACATATGTGCATGTACATGTACATGTACATGTAACACAAAGGAAAGACTTCAAAATCCCACCAATTATGAGTAACCATAGTTACCATACCAACAAGATAATCTTTTGTGATAGTTTGCAGGGCTGCCAACTTTGAGTAAGAGCTGGGTGTGAGAATTTGACGATAGAGCTGGATCAGAACAACATGTAGGCCTAATGCAAGCGCGAAGCCCTAACGGCATGGGGTTCAGGGCCCATTTAATTAAGGCCCCGAAAAAAATGTTGGATTCTAGACACTCTGTGGTGCGATCTTAGGCAATTTCTGACCACGTTAACGAATTTTTTTAAACAAAAGATCATCATTATAATTTTTTTTTTTAGAATGAGAAATCCCATGTGGGCGTGAGAGCGTGAAATTAACCTGAAATGCCCGAGTCTCACGCTCAGTGCGTGAGAGTTGGCAAGCCTGGATTTGTAAAGCAATTTTTGGACTGATCTTCATTTTTCAAAAACTGGATTGATGTCCACCACTTTGTCAACTCTCCTAATTTATACAACCTCAATTTTTGGAGCAAGAACATTTTCAACAATATTTGAATTAACAATTCTCGAGATACATTTTTGTGTGTGTGTGCATTTTCACAAACTTAATAACTCAGACTGTGGAAATCACATCTTATCTGTTATGGATGGCATATCTAAATTGTGAGTTGACCATTATATACAAGTACATGTACACATGTGCAGTGTGCTATAGTGGAGAAGGTGCCCATTCTACACACATCTGTGTTTACTTTGTTTGAACCAAGCCTTTCTGTTCCCAGCATTTTGGACTCACACAGAGCAATACATTCACAGTGTTTGTTTGTTTGTTTTTGTCTGCGTTGTGTGCACTGACATTCTGTTGTGCCCGGCATGCAATTGACTTTTTGATGGGATCTGATAAGTGCTAAAGGTCAAATTGTTTGGGAGATTTTTTGTTTTCATTGGTAAAATGAAAGGATATTTCTGTCTTGTTTGTGAACTGTGTTTTTTTCCCTATATACAGTATCATTTATTAGAAGTGACAGGTTATCAGAAAAAAAAAGCCCTTAGAAAATGGGAATTTTTGTCTTTGGTACTTTTGGTAGTTTCACTGATGAATTTGCTGGAGAATTAATTGATTGTATTTTCTTTTATTTAAACTGCCGTCTACGTACTGTTTTTGATGTGCATGCATACTGGAAAACTTCAGGGCTGTCCCAATTATGCGGAATATTCAAATATTTGATCATCAACTGAATATAATAGCTTTTTGCTGGCTCAAACATTCATACATGCATACCGGTACATGTAATACATTGAAGTACAAAATGTTTTTATTGGGAGGGGGGGGGGGGGAATAGGAGATTACCGAGAACGAAATCTTGAAATTTTCTGGTGACGTGTACTAAGTCATTTGACAAACTTGCAACGTGCTACAAGGTACACAAGTGGCCTAATTGCATGAATTGTGAGCACTTTCCATAAGTTAATTTAATTTAGTTTTGGCGTCATGCCTACACACTATACAATATAGTTAAGTTACATTTTTTCTTTTCCTTTGTTTCTCCCCACACTTACTTGTTATTGTTCTCATCCTCCTTTTTGGCTGAAGGAAGGCTTAAAATTTTTAATTTAAATGTTCATGTTGAGCCTCGAATTTTTCCTTTTCTTTTTTGTGTGTTTTTCTCTCACTCTCTCATTTTTTTTTGGTTCACAGGGATTTGAATGCTTAGCATCCTGCACTGCCATGCCTCTGAAAAAAGTAAAAAAAAAAAAAAAAAATCCAATTCATTTCAAACCAACTTTCTTTCCCCTTTCTCCTTGTTCACCTCCAGTCCTGAACCAGGTGCTCCTGGTCCTGGTGTCGGCGGCCTTTCTCACGGTGGTCGTCATGACAACCTTCCTGTGCGGAATCTGCAACTTCTTCAAGAGGTCCAGCGACGACGACAACGGGTCGGATTCGGAGCAGAAGCAGCCCATACTGGGCATGGAGGAGAACCGGATGGGTACCAAGAAGCTGGGCCCACGGAGTACTAGCTACACTGACCCGGCCAAGCGCTCACCGTTGATATCGTCCAAACATAAAAAGTAAGGGGTTTTTCTTTTTTTTTTAATAAAAAGTGTCTGTATTTGTGTTTATCCAAATTTGGGGGAAAAAAATAAATGCATATATTCCAGAACTTTAAATTTTTTTTTTTATATCAAACCAGTTGTTTCCTTTGAGAAGCATCTATAGACAAATCTGGGCACATAGGCTCACGAGGCCCCCCCTCAATGGAGAAACCATTGTGCACGCTATCTGTACTCGAAAGCAGCTGCCCAGTGATGGATTATCCGCACAAAGAATTCACCATTCAAGGGGGCCATCATAATGGAATTGTTAGCATGCTCAGATTTGTCTACATGTATACTCGGTGTACACCACACCGTGTTCCCAAGTAATGTTGTTGTTTTTTGTTTGAATAAATATGTTGATAATTCGTCACCTCGGTTAGGACGGATAATGTAACAACAATTGACTGATAGTGTAGCACATTCTACTACATCATGTGTCATTTTTTTAACATTATCAGTTAGTGATACAGTATCAGTCAATTGTTGTTACATTATCAGTTGGCGATACGCTATCCTTGGATATTACATTATCAGTTGTAACACCCCCTCAATGGAGAAACCATTGTGCACGCTATCTGTACTCGAAAGCAGCTGCCCAGTGATGGATTATCCGCACAAAGATTTCACCATTCAAGGGGGCCATCGTGATAAGATTGTTAGCATGCTCAGATAAATTTGTCTATACTCGGTGTACTGTACACCACACCGTGTCCCCAAGTAATGACATTGTCCTTATGTATTAGCATGTATAATCATATCAGAAGTGCTGATGAATCTACCAGGTACAGTTGTTCAGACAATTTCAGCCAAGTACTCAGTTTTCACTTCAGCGGGTCTTGGGCTGGGTGATCAAGTTACTGTTGCTGGCAGAACACATTTGTACAAATGCATTTTGCTGCCCTTGAGGTGTTCTGTTTCTGTGTACTCGTTCGTACTTTTTTACATGTTTTTAGAAATAACTGAATTTGTCAATTACCATACATCGTATGTATACATAGTACACATGTGCATGTTTGTTTGCCATTTCTGGCATGGTAGCAGGTCAATTGTGTCGTACACTGTAAGTGCACATCATCACATGAGCATGTGATACCATGTTGTGAAAATGATTGTACATGCTGTACCTTGTTGGGGTTTTTTTTGGTTTTGAATAAGTATGTTGATAATTCCTCACCTCAGCATGAGTACCAACTTAATTCATTACAAAACATTCATGTGAACTTAATCTGACTAAATTTCAAACATGCAAAAAGTCAAATGACATGCGCATGAACCATGAGCCTTGCTCACGATATTCCAAACATTTGCATGACAGTACTGGACCAATCCCACCAAAATCCATCGCTGACACTGCTTCACATAAAGCATGAGGACCAAATCCGCTGAAATCCACCACAAGACCACCACTACTATGGATTTTGATGGACTTGGTACAGATGGCTTGCCTACCAAAATCCTCAAACTGGGGAAATAGATTTTGATGGATTTGGGATGGTTAGGGTTAATTCTATCCACCATCTTTTTTACTCGGCCTAATGGTCACTACTTTCCTCTGTACATGCATATGTGTGTTTTGTTGTCCTCTTTTTTTTTCTTACATGTACCTTACCCTTCGTCACACCAAACAGCTCGGAGGAACCTCTTGAGGAAGTCTTTGAGCATTGTAAGGCACCCCCTCGTAAGTCACGGTCCCTCTTGTCCTTTGGTCATGTTGGTTCACGACAAGCGACAAGTGACGGCAAACTACCGTAGGTTTGGGTATTTTATAAATCATCGATCGTCGTTGCTTCTTTCACCATGTAGAAATCATGCCTCATTTTACCGATTAGCTTTATACATGTATACATGTTATGATCCTGACCAAGCTCCTTTAATTTTTAGCTTTTCATTTACTTTCTCTTTCGTTTTAAACCAATATGATACATGATCAATCTCGTAAAAGAAGAACTCAGTTTCTAACATCATTCCAGGAGCCAAATATCTTCTGTTTAGTATTTATTTTCTACATTTTAAACTTTAGGTAATCACAGGCATGCAAGTTTTCCTCAGATCCACTGATTTCCTCGTTTTTTACTTCTCATGAATGCCATTACAAATTGAAAAATACTGTACAAATGCTTGTGTGCTTTGGAGTTTCCTCGTTTTTCCTAAATTCCCAGTTGCATGCCTGAATTATAAACCATGTTCCTGCACATGTATGATCTACACAGAAGTATGTATACGTGTATACATGTAGTATGCAGAATTGCCATGTTGCGAAAAAATGCATGTCCTATCGCTTAGCTCACTTTTAACACAGTTTCCTTACCAGCATTTTGTTGACTATTTTTCAAGATGGCTGCTTTGATTTAAACCTGTGAATTGTCTTTGCCCTCAAGGCTAAAACAGGTCAATGTTTTTAGAAAATAGTCGTTTGCACGCACTTCAATCTTTGAACTCGCATTTTACTCATTGCTTTTAAACCTTTTGGCTGTCTCTGTGTTGAACCACACCCTCATTCACAACCTGCCAAAATTTGTTTTTGATGCAACAAATTGAAGTCTTTTCATGTTTTCTGCCAACATTTTTTCACTGTTTAATCTTGTATGAGTCAGTTTCTGTAAAGAAATATTTCAGTTAACCATTGTTAGATGGACTTTCATTGAGCCTTGCCTGTGGGAGCATTCAATGGTTTTGACTGAGGTACCGGTATTCAGAACCTGCCTTCTGAGGTTGGCTGGTTGCTACACTGTATTCCATTATCAGTAGCCATATACAGTGTAGGATGAAGTACGTAATGACCATAAGGCCAAAAAAAAAAGTCTCCGGTTTCTGGTATGCGCGGGCATCGCCGTAGCCATGCGCGTCGGCAAAATGAAAAAGTTTTTTTTTCAATACAAGATGATGTTTCAAAACCGCCAAACTTACTGGTTTGACTGGAATTCTGCTGCTGCACAATTTTAACGTGTTTTTAGAAGGGGTTATGATCGAGAATAAGATTTATGTGGCCTCTCTGGACTCCCATATATTTGCACTAAGTTTAGTCGGGCACCATTTGCAGTCATCAGCCGACATTTGAAGCCCCCCCCAAAAAAAAAGGTAAAAAAAAAGAAGAAAAAGCCGCGTCGCCGCACCACTTTTGGGGCAAGCTCCATACCAGAAACCGGAGACTTTTTTTTTTTGGCCTAAACAGGTAGTTTGCCAAGAGCTCATTCCCATTGTAATATTAGAGTGCTTACAAATTGAACCACGCTGTTCCGGATGAAAGTGTTCATGAGAATATAATGCCCTTGTACATTGAATTACACAAACATGCACACATGTACGTGCATGTACATTGTACCCTGACATTCATAACCTTCAAATTTTACTGACTGTATTTTCCTACAATAAACGCATTCAAGCAAAACAGTAAAGCTGGTGACACCACCTTATGAAAACATACACAGTACATGTACACTGCAAGTCATTTGCATGCCAGTTTTTAGCAGTTGCTACCGGTACATGTACATATGTACATGTACGTGAGTGTAGAACCATTCAGTACTGTAACTATTCAGCTTTAAAAAAAAAAATAGAAGATTGAAACTAGATATAAAATGAATGGCAAAAGACATTTCATTTTGTCTATTTGACTTACATGCACTACCTTTTTAATATTACACAATATTTAATATTAAATGTCTGAAATCTCTTTGGGACAAAATATCTGAAATTCTTGCATTGTCTGAAACTTAAGAAACCACACCACTAATTTCAGACAAATGTTACTATGATGTTCCACAAAGTGAGATGGGCATATTTTTTTGGATCGTAGCAAAAGTGAACTGTTTAACCAGTTCGCGCCAGATGACGTGTATACACGCAAAGGTTTTGCGGTATTTGGAACGGATGACGGATAAACACGCAGGGAGCGAGGCCGGGAATATCTGTCAGCGACCCGCTCGGAGCGAGCGAGGCCGGATATATGAGTGTGCTGCCAGAGGGTGATGGCTTCAGCCCGCCTGGCGTGAGGTCGAGTGAAAAGTAATCCCGCGCCTCGTTCTGTTCTTGTCAAAATAATCCCGGCGCCGGGGCCGGCGTGAACTGGTTAAGCCTAAATTTGCAGACTTCATGCAGAAAATATTTTTAAAATGTCCTATATTTATTATGTCTTTTGCCATTGCATCTGATGTCTGATGAAGTACATTTACCCACATGTTTGTTTAGTTCTTGCTTTGAAAACTCATGCTAGTTATTTTCATTTAAGTGCCACATTCTGCCAATATCTGCCTGCCTACATGTAGCACAGCTGCTCAACATAGCAACACGGTATTTATAGTAACTTAACTCAAAGCGAATCAGTCTGCGCAAATGCCCAATTCCTACATGTAGGCTACAGCGTATGGAGTGTTCATTTTCAACAAGTTGTGGATTTGTGACTTGTGCTGGTACCAAGAGCACATGCACACTGTCCATTTTGTTTTGGCAATATTACCGTACTTGTTTAATTGGACCGTATGATGAAATTACACGTACATAGATTATGCACACAGGTTTCCTCAATGATGCAAATGAAAAAAAGCAGAAACAACGATTCAGTCACCATAATTAGGTGTCAAACGTTGCCTATAATCAGCTACGTACAAACACTTTAACGGGGTACTCAACTGCTCATGACGTGAGGTGTTCTGGCAGAAAAATGCAAAAAAAAACCGGAATGGGTTTGATTTTTAATTTTTTTATTTTGACATTTATTGATATTTGTTACTCTTTAATATGTCTACTACATATAATTTATAGAAATAGTATAAATATTGTGGAATAAAAGTGTTTTTCAGGGGAAACATTTGGTAACTTTAATTTTCACGATTACAAAACTTGAAACCTTAAAGGCCTTTTTCTCAGGATTTTACTTTTTGGACATACATTGTACATGTACATAATGTGAATGTAAATGTGAACTTTAAACAGTCATAACTTGACAACAGAATATCTGATTGAAGTGCAGCAAAAAGCATTGTAAGGAGCATTTCATTCTCATTCCGAATACCCACAAACCCTCATTTCGACCTCGGCCCACTTCTGTCTCATTTTGCCAGAACGCCTTTTTTGATCTCATCATTAAATGATTCGCATGAACCATGATTGATGTAGTGTTCTTCATATCGCCTCATTTTGTTCATACTTTTTTATGCATAGAGTCCGTTTGCAGATATCAAACTTACAAATTCCCATCATCTGGCAAATCATACAATGCTTTTTTTTTTTTTTTTGGTCATGTTTGTGATGACACATCGGACTATCATTGGGTTTGATAACACTACCCATCTGTAGCTAACAAGATATTTCTTTTCTTATAACATAAACTGCTACATCTCTTAAGATACAGTGAAAGAAATCATTCCAGGAAAGAGTAAATGTTTCATTCGTGTAGTCTTGGGATTCTTTGAGCACATCACACACCAGTAGCTCATTGTAGTGTGCATGAAATTCCTTTATTTTTCCTTTGCGTGTGACTAACAAATTGAATTGTTTTGTTTCTCTCTGACCTCGTTATTTTACTTATATTGCCCACTGCACTTGATCTTTTTTCATTTTCCAACTTTGATTTTCTTTCTTTCCTTCTCTTACAGACTCACATCTGTCATTTCATTTTACACAAAAATTTAACGTATGCACTCTCCCACCTATGCAGGACGAGTAAAAAAAACGAAGCCCAAATGTCGGGATCATGAAGTTAATGAAGTTCTGCATGTCGCACTTGTAGCACAAAATCTAGGATATGAAAGCCCAATTCATAAGCTTTCTTTTAGTACTTTCTTTTTTACTCACCCTGTACATGTGATACTTCTTTCCCTGTGGTTTTCAACCACTAAAATTGGAACCCCCCCCCATATCTCTTCATCTTCCTGTTCCTCCATCCCCAATACCCCCCTCCCCCTGCCCCTCCCCCTTTCCCATTTCTAGCCTCCTTCTCAAGCCTCCTGGCATCACGTCTACACATCTCTAGTAGAGTCCACTTTACAGCTGTCAAGGGAAGTTTATCAAACCACGGCTTCTGTCCAGCTTCGGCTGCAAGCGATTTGTAGGCCCCTGACTCAGGGTCTCTGGCTCATTATAAATTTGCCCATGTTCTACACGTACATGTACTTCAGGGAAAGCTAATTGTGTAATACATGTATGTGACTCATCACCACAAAATGAGCATCAAGTCAGACTTCTCGATTCTGCAGAACACGAGAGCTTCCTTACAGTTTATTACATTTTTGGTGTTGAGTTCAGTAATGAAAATGTAGACCGCCAACTAAATTGAAGTTGTAACAGTAACTTTTGAGAAAATGGCATTTACAAATTCCGCTGTTGTATATTACAATGAGTGAATAGTCAACTTATACAACAGGATGAATTGGTTTGAAAGATGTTTGAGAACAAAAACAATTGAGAAAGGTAGAAGAGTACTTAACAGATTGAGGTTCACCAGAAACAAACAATCGATCACCCCTTCAATTGTTTGCTTTGCCCTACTGTACTGCAAATTGGCAATTTCTGACTTTGGGTTTAATGATGTGCATACATGTACTTCAAAATGTATGATTCTTGAACCAGAGATGAGCCAAAGCCACAATGAAGCCGTGGTTTTTAAAGTTGACCTCCCCCGTTTTGGTTATCCAGTTCGTTAGTAAAAATGTCATACACTCGCGCGCAACTGCGCACCACTGATTAACACTCAAGTGGTGTTAACTTCCCGTTCCGATGCCACTTAATGGCCAGTGGGCGTGGTTTAAACTGAACTGACGTCACACTAACGAACCGGATTTGCACCTTTATCTGCATGTATATTTATTAATTACCTAACTGCATGTATTTATGAATCTCTTGCATGGTGTGTTGGTTTTCTGCCTAATCTTCACTCTCTAGTCTGGTGCCGGGTCAAACCACCGTCCAGAATGTCCAGCCCCCACTAATGCGACGGTCTCAGTCCACGCCCATGCCAGCACTGCCTGTCTCCCACCTTCACACAGTGTACGTGTCTTTATGATTTTTGTTCAATATGTGTTTAAAGGTATAGTCCATCATTTGTAATTTGTGCATTTTGTTCGTTTGAAGCAACAAACGTGCTCAAAATGTAAAGAAGGGTGCTGAACAACATAACAACTAACTTGATGAAGTTTCAGCTCAGCTTCAGCTGTATATTTTGAGAAAAACAGCATTCTAGGATCTCGATTTCACTGGAATTCAAAAGTTGCTGAATCATGTTTTGAATTGGACCTGACTTCAGCGTCCGAGACACGTTCTCACTGAGCCGATTGCAGCTATGCGATGTCGCGCACTGATCCGACGAATTATAGCAACCGCGCGCGTGTACGTCATGCCAATGCTTGCGCACGCTTTGCTGAATAAAAAAAACGAACTACTAATGGACATTTCCAACAGTGCGTCTTTAGATGCATCGTTGGAAAGGCTTTCTTTTTTTGATTTCTTCAAAATGACAGCTTTATTAACAACAATATTTATGTCAGTTACTTTTTGGATAGCTGCAAATGATGGACTGTAGCTTTAAACAAATTATCAGTTAATATTTCATCTTCACTTGACCAACATTTTCCTTCATCTAACATTTTGTCTAACTTGTATATTTGCATATCTGTATACTATGGTTGGTTTGTACATTGTTTACTTTCATTCTTTTCTTTTGTTTGCTTTTAAAAGCAGATGACAAAATACACAACAGGAAGCAAAACTTGTGTTTATTTTGTCTTGTTTTTAAAATTTGCCTATTCGTCTATTTCATTTGTTAAATCAAAACAGATGTTATGACTGTACACGATGGATTACCTCTTTTTGTGTTTGCATTTTTTAGTGAACATTATGTACATTTACATATTAGAATCCTTCTTGCATTTGTGCATTCTTTTCCCCCAATACAGTGTGTCATAAAATTGCCTGATTCAGTGATTTTGTGGCAAAATATGTTAGTGTCTTAGACATTTACCAGTATTTTGCATTTTTAAAGTGAAAATACCGTACATGTACATGTACATTAAAATATAATTTACTCAATGGCACATATCAAATTTTAATATCGAGACCAAAATGCCAGTTATTTTGTCTTCCAATTTTACGTAGTGCATTGATCATACCATGACCATAACCTCCCCCTCCACAGGGACTCTGACCCCTCCCCCTGATAGGTGATATACATGTACACTGTATTCACAGACACCCATAGTGATGCACAGTTAACATTAAATGACTCGTGTATGACAAGTGCAGCGTTGCAAGACATGATGTGGAGCCTAAATATGTGCTATTGATTCACCTTTTTGCATCATTTCATTTTGTGTTACTGACCACTGACCTCATGATGACACCCCCTGGTGCAGGCCCGTAGTGGGGGGATGTCGAAAAATTGGCCACCGGTCCACTGTTTTCTCGCAATACTTACTTTTACTCAAAATGTGTTCGCCATGCGCTATCTTTGGAAAAAGAATGATTCGGTTAGTACAGGGAAGAGATAGTTCAACAGGATATGCATTTAGCAGAAGCTCCATCACCCACTGTTTTATAGCCTACATGTACTAGTCGTCACATTGCACGTTGCGGTATCATTATTCTGGTCTGCGCTGTACAATGTATATATATGTACATGTAGTTGTAGCGGTACGTGTGGCTACATGTAGAGGTGGCCTGGTCTAGTCTCCACACAATCCGTCTGAAAGATCAGGCGATGCAGTGACACAATGTAGTACTGTAAAGGTCCACTTTATGGAAACCCTCCCCCCTTCCACCAGACTGGCTACAATCCTGAAGGGGTGCATAAATGTACCTATGTTCCCCAATACCGATGTTCCCCACTGCCAATGTTCCCTGAAATCCCTACCCTATAACCTTAACCCTAGCCCTAACTGAACCCTAACCCTAATCCTAAGGATTTCAGGGAACATCGGTAGTGGGGAACATCGGGTAGACCCCTCCTGAAGTGCTCATGTAATTTTGGTTGTACATGTAGTGTACCTCAGGGTAATGAGTGATGCAAACTTTTAAAACTTGCATTTTTGCCACCTGCCAAAGTTTGTCAAGACAGAACTTAAATTTTACACGTGCATGTAGGGCCTACATGTACATGAACATGATGTGGCCCTGCTCTGTATTACTTAATGCCATATGGAAAATGGAATAAAACTCTCCTACATTTGTAAGTGATGCACCACATGAAGTATAACTTACATTCCATGCTGGAAATTAAAAATTGCTATGAACATGCTGAAATACATACTGTACATGTACATGTACATAGTACTTTCAAAGTTCTCCTACATGTACATTCCCACAAATGACACACAATATCTAAGTGATTAATGTACATTTACAAAATGTACCTGTGTGTGTGTGTGAACATTTTACAATCTGAAAATTGTTTAAATGCATCTTAATATGCAGCTTGGGTTTTTTCATTAAATTCCCCACACTTGTGTAATACACTGTAGTTTTGTACATGACAATATGACTGCAGTCTGGCAGTACGATTAGTATGCACAATATTGGCACGCAAGCCGACAGATTTTAGCGTCTGTATGATTCTTGTCGATAACCAGGATATAAGAACAACCATAACAACATCTGTTTAAAAAAAGAAATCAGTTGACTTTGTCTCACATTGCAATCAATATTTTTCAAAACCAGAAAGTTACTATAAACAGATATCGACAAATCAGTAGCATTGTAGTCTCGGACTTTCCACTACTAGCCAAGGTGATATTAATAATTACAAACACAGCAATTAATCAACACGTATGTATGTACCATATGAAAATCTCGACACAGACGCAGTTTGTTTTTTTGGCCTGTGTGGGTATTGTTCATTTCTCATCAGGCGGTAAATGGCATGTTAAATTATTTTTCTGAGAAAAAAAAATAAGCAGTGATAGTCACCTGATGACGATTTGGAAAACCGGTGAAGAGTAAATTGTGTGAATCAGTTGTGGGATTGACGCAGTCGAGATGGAGTCTGTGGGAGAGTGGTTGCAGGAACTGAGTGGATCTCTGTAAGTTTCTCTGTCTTTTGTAGGGCTGTGCTTTGTTTTGTTTGTTGGGCTGTTTTTATTTTTTGTTTTTGTGATAGGACACAGGTTCTACATGTAGATGGAATACGTTTTTGTTTTCTGCCAAATTGGATTATTGATTGGAATGGAATGAGTGTATTGGTGGTTGAGCAGCAGCTGCAGTTTTTAGGGCGTTAGATAATAAAAACCATAAGACCGGACGTACATTACTGATAGTCAGAATGCCATTTGCAGAGATCATAATTATGTAAGCCAATTATTTATACTGATTTTTATGTAAAAAAATATACATGTTACTCTTTGAAGTTTACAGAAAATTTAAAAAAATTCATAGACACTTCTGCATTACCGTTGTGTCTGTATGTGGGGAAATATAAATTTCTGTATTTCATCTTTACTTCATCGCAAATTTGTTTGAGCTGTGATACCCTGGTAATTGAAAAAACTTCAAAAATCTTCCTTGTATGAGTTATTTTCTAATGTTATTAATACATTTACATTGCATCTCATAGTAAGCCTTTGCTTTTCATCAGTTAAAGAATCTCACAGGTGTACGTTGGTGGGAATCGAACCCTTGACCCGAACATCAGTCTTGCAACTAGCAAGCTTGGAAGTTATCGCATGGCCAATCAAATATGCTAGGCCTATATCAGCAGTCGCGTACTGCACCAATAACATGTGATGGAATTGACTAACCTTGCCAACATTAGCGTAGCCGGAGGGGGAAAACCTTTGATTGTACTTGTAATCTTCTCACTCTTACATCACTTGTGTTACGTACATTCCATCAACTGATCCGTATCTTTCAAAACCACATATTTTCATCAAGTCTTGGATATTAGATGCTATCATGCATAGCCAAACCTTGTTCATTATACATGTACGTCCGGTGAAAAACCGCTTTCTCATTTAGGTGTGTTCTTTTAATTAGTTGGTCATGTTTTTTCAAGAATTTGTCCCCACGGTTTGCGCCATCTGGTAGTGTAATCAAAAGACACTGTACACATGCAGCGAATTCAATATTTGGTATTCTCGTGAGTGGACAATTGCTACAACAAGGATAGATCTAATGATCCATGTGGGCAATTCCACGGTTACTCACGTTACATTTTTGATGTTCTCTCGAGTTTCCTTGGGCTGTAATTACCTTACTGAAAAGGTTTAATAACTGTTATCCCCATGGTAGATAGAGTAGACCTAGACCTACATGTACCTAAGCACCAAAGATGACATTTTCGTAACCGATTTTGTGTGTCTTGTTTATCATACATAATGCATTTTTCTGGATGTCATCTTTGGTGCTTAGGTACATGTAGGTCTAGGTCTACTCTATCTACCATGGGGATAACAGTTATTAAACCTTTTTAGTGAGGTAATTACAGCCCAAGGAAACTCAAAAGTACATCAAAAATGTAACGTGAGTAACCGTGGAATTGCCAATGTACATTATGGCCTGTTTATTGTCAAATAATTTAGTGTTTGATCATTCCAAACTGCGTTTGACGAATGTTTAAATATTCAAAACTTGGCTGTCAAGTTTGTATGCCAGCTGCAACTGCATGCTGCACCTGTCAAAAGTTGCACGCAAAGCGCGCCGGTTAAAATATGCGCGCATTAATTGATGCTATGGACTGAGTAGTGTTTTACAGTAAGTATTTTTATAACTGTCAATGGCTTTAACCTGCTGAAAGGATGAGAACAATGAACTGCTGTGGACAAACAAAAAGTGACTGTCAACAAAAAGTGGCATCTGGCAAAGCGCAGCAACTTTACGATCAAATTAGCATCACAGTCGAATATTCGAACCAGCAAAAAGCTGTATGAATATTCGGTTGATTATCAAATACTCGGTATATTGGAGACATCCCTAATGTACATGTTTAAAGAGCAATTTTTTTTTTCAATGAGACTTTGAGTTTTGATGGAAAGAAAGACAGTTTCTTAAATCAAGAAGTGCATAGTGTTTATTTTTTTTAAATTCTTGTGTTAATTTGTACTTGGAATTTGATTGTTTTATGCAATGTCAATGTTTGTCTTGATAAGAGCTTCCATTGAAATGAGAAATTTTTGCGTGCTTTGCTGGATGAACTGAGGGGCTGTGTGCCTTTGGAATTATTTTTTCTGGCATGATTTTTTTTTTTTACTTTTTAAGTAAACTAAGTTTGCACGTACCTACAGGGTGAGTCCAAAAAAGCGAAACCCAAATATCGGGACTATTGTTTTAGTGATGTTCTGCATGTAACACTTTCTAAATCTAGGATATGAAAGCCAAATGCATAAGCTTTATTTTAGTACAAGAATCATTATAATCACTTATGCACTTTTAAAGTTACGGAATTGTAAACAGAACCACCGTTTTAAAGTTCTGACCATGGTTCACAAAAAAGGTGTGCGTTCTTTCAGCAAAACGAGCACAATTCACTCACATTCCTATGTGATTTGTTTTCATTTTGCTGACAGAACACTTACCTTCTTGTGATCCTTGGACAGAACTTTAAAACAGTGGTTGTGTTTAAAATTTTGTAACTTTAAAAATACATGAGTGATTTGAATGATTCTTGTACTAAAAGAAAGCTTATGAATTGGGCTTTCATATCCTAGATTTTGAAAGTTCTACATGCAGAACTTCACTTAAACAACGGTCCCGACATTTGGTTTTTTTTACTCACCCTGTAGTGTACATGTGTCAAATCATTAATTTTCAATTATTTATCCACCTGGGATTAATTTATCTTAAATGGAAAAAACGTCTGCAGCAGTCTCCGTTGTACGCCTTCGTAATACATGTATTAGTAACAGAACTCGTTACAATTTTCCTTGCAAGGTTAATTATTTTTTTCTCACATTTTACCATACATTTTTAAATTATTTATTTAACATCCTAGCAGTCAGGATTTTGGGTACAAGGAGAAGACTTAAAATGGCATTTGATTCATTCAAATTTTTTTTTTTTTCTGATCAGTGTGATATTTTGCCTGAGTTTCTTCAAATATTTTATGTTAACAATGCAAATGGCCACATACATGTATCCACCTTCACTACAGGACAAGACCGTCATTGTGGTGTGACAAATTAATATCCCAAGAAGAAAAAGAAAGACGAGAAAAAAATGGTTTTTATGCTATTAAAACTGCTGGTAATAATGCAGTTGATATTGAAAATTCAGCTACATGTATGGCACGATAATACATGTACTGGGAATTTTTTATTACCTCCAACTCATTTGCATAAAACCCATCATGCCCAGATGTGGATAGTATTAATTTGACTACGATACCCCATACCAGTATTTATAATTGAAGGCCACATCAACAGACAGTGGGTTTAGAATAGGATGCAAATCCTCGTTTATTGAAATCTGTAAACCACAAGGCCAGGGAAACATTAAAAGCTTCTTGTGTGGGAAAACACAGTTTGCTTGCAGTTTGAAAATAATTATGAAGGTTGCTGTTCCTGTGCTTAAATTTTGATTTGATTTTTTTTTTAATTGCAGTATTTTTTTTACAATTAAAATGTTATTCACTTGTGGATAAGACATTAGAAATGAAAAAAATGTGCCAACTTTTAGTTATGGAATAATCACTTTCCTAAATTGAAATTATTTGCTTCCCAACAATACGGTAATTCAGAAAGTTCTTTTTTTTATATTTTACATTAGAGGCAGAAAAGAAACCCAAATATTTTTTTCTGAGGGTCATAGACACCCAAAGTACCGTATATAACAAAGGGCTTCTGTTAAAATTGAAATTTTGTTGAAGAAAAACAGTGAATTTGTTCAAGAGCACACGCAGAGCAGCTCCCTAAGTTGGCGCACTTTTATTTTTGCCTCTAGCGCTTTGCTGGAGCAAAAGTTTTCTTTGAAATTTCACAGTAAGTGAAATATCATCAGGCTCTAAACATTCCCGTTCGTAAATCGTGAGTTTATCTTCCCGTTACAAAGTTACATGTAGTTATAGAAATTTATGTTGGTGTGATTTTCCGATTTTGTTTTGAAGTGCGCAGTGAACACTTTGAAAATGCATCAAAAATAAGAAAATAATTTTCTGACAAACTTCTAGTTTGGTATGTGAGTGGAGATAACAATGATTTATCAGAATTTTTCAGCTTTGAAGAAATTGTTAAATGTCAGCTTGGGATTTTCCGAGATTTATGCAAGTGCGCCATGTACATGTAAGGCAACACTCAGCGGATTTTGTGCCCCTTTTTCCCAGACACCGTCGTTTTTGAATTTCGGACTAACACCACAACATACATTGTACATTGTCAATTGTGAATTTTGTCTGAGGAAAATATTCGTTCCCAAAGAAGCCCAGAAGAATTAATATGGGAAGAGCAGACATTTCAAAGTGTTGAAGTGTCAATAACTTTGTAGTAAGAACTTTTTTGTTGAACAGGGCGTTAATTTCTTATAGTATCAAGCCCAAGTTGGCGATGCATATGTAAAACTGTGCAAGTTGCCGAATTTATGTAAGAAAAATGTGCGTTATATACGGGCAAATTGTTGCAATATAATCCAATTTCAAAGCAGGACATGAACAGTGTTGTTTTCTTAACGCTAGAATTAGAATTTGGGTCAATGCACGAATTGTTACAATTTCAGGCAGCCGTTGACGGGAGTGAAAAAAGTATTTCCATTATTTAACAACCACAGCCCAACACAAACATAACGGAACAACGTTTTGTTGCATGCATTACATGTAGCCTTAGGATTTTTGTAGAAAAAAATGTACTGGAAAGTCAGTTTGTGTCAAAAGTGAAGTCAATTTTTGTTATAGTTTGTGGATACATACATGTATGTAATGCCACTTTCTCTGTTACCGTTTGAATTAAAAAAAAAAATCAACTCGGATCACCCTAGCCTAGCCAATGTCTATTCTCTCTGCCTTTACAGACTTTAAACAAATCACAGACTTTAAACAAATACACATGTAAGCCTGGGCTGTACTTTCAACTATCTGTCCATCCCTCTATAATCGGTTAATATTAAAAGATAAGCTATTGACTTTAAAGGTTCAATCTTTTCAGCATTTCCGAGTGGAACACAATGAAAGAGAAAGTGGCTGCGCTTTAGATTGATTTGCTGGGCTTTGGTGCTGGTGCTGTTAAGCTGGCTCACATCTCATTAACCTGCAAATGAAGAAGATAAAGCTCAACAACGAAAACAACAAACCAGAAACAACCAGAAACTTTCAAGTTAAATACAATTTTAGAATATGTGCACGTACAAGTACATCGTTCACAATGTTCCAAATAAGTGATGTGCAGTTGCTCAAGAGGCGTTCTATAAATTTAGGGTCCAAAGGGTGATATATTTCCTGCCCCTGTTACCTTGGTAACTTGCCATTCAAGTGTCATTAAGAATGACTTCAAATGATTTTATATTTTGCTGGGTAGTTAGTTTGCTATTCGTAGTCACTCTTGGAGGACGACTGCATTAACCCTATTAACCACCCTGAATCCATCAAAATCCATTCCCCTGTTTTGGGGTATTTTGGTGGACTCGGGATACCTCCATATTGAACAAACTGGTGGAGTTTGATGGATTCAGGATTGTAAGCCTAGCTGAAATTTATGATTTTGATGGATTCAGGATAACTCCATATTATGATTTGATCCATATTATGTACATTGAGCAGTTGGGGACTACTTGTATGATGGATTCAGGATCTCAACAGTTTAACTCATTGGCTATGTTTGTTGGTATTTGCTGTTGGACTTTGTAAGATTCAGGATACCTTCTAGGAAAAATACCCAAGAGTAAGGGTTAAAGGAGTGCGTCAGAATTATCGAATCATAGGAACAGGAAAAAAAGTGGACCTCATAATAGAATGACCGAAAAGTAACATGAACCAAAGTGCTTTCTTTTTGTATAGCAAACTTAGATGTGAAGAGATTCCTTGTGACGGGCTCTCTACTGTTGCATTCTTGGAAAGAAACTTTTCTTAATATTATTTTCTTCTCCACAGGTCCAGGAAAATGGACATTTTATAATATTATTGGTCTAGAGCAACCATGTTTCAAGTTTCTCAGAAGTTCGTTAACCTGGGACATTCTTCAAACCTCGGCATTGTCTCAGGTTTGAGCCAAGAAATTTGACATTTATTGAGTTCCATAAGCAAACTGACAAACCAAAGCCAGATTTGAAGCCAAGACTTGAAAAATTGGTTCTCAGCAGTGTTTACCTCTTCCCCATTGCAGCATTTCATGTATTGATACATATTATTTTCTGTGCCGTTGACAGCTTTGAACATTCCGAGGGTAAGATGGTTGCAGAACCAGTACAGCCAGATGCTAGGAAGCTTGGCAAGCAGTCCTCAGTCATGTCTGCTGCCTCTGCTTTCGGTCTGGCCCAGGAAGCGCTCGGGCTCACAGAGGTAAGAAGCTTTTCTCATTTGATTGATTTGTGGGTCATTCTGTTCCTGTCCCTGCTACCTTGGTACTGTAGGAGTTTGCTACATATAATCCAAACTGAACAAGTCAAAAACTCACCTGTGAGTTCGACCTTGAACCACCAACGGGGGGGGGGGGGGGGGGGGGGGGGGGGGGGGGGGGGGGATCTCTCTGTGTGCGTTGTAGAAGGCCAAAGGGTGAACGCATATGGAGTTCGGGGCGAGTTGACTCGCGTTAATGTCTCGCGAAATCGCTGACAAAAGTCTCCCTCAACTTAGGTGAGTGCAATTAATAACCGTCATTGCACGGCTAGAAAGTAAGGTTGATGAGGTAACACTATTAATACAATTGTCTTAACTTCTGGCAAGAAAATGGAACGCGAAAAGTTCCTACAATAAGCGCTTGATGTCCACACGGTGTGAGTGGCTGACTAAGCGTCACTAGTAATTTGCATAGCGCAAAATTCTGATTTGCATAGGGCAAAGTTCAAAGGGCACTACGGTACTTTGTTACAGTGCATCTGCCAATCAAGTATATCTTCAAATTGCGTAATGCCATAGATTTGCAAATGTCACGAGGCCATGCCGCTGGATCCCCCTAGCAGGGCCTGCCTTTGGCACACCCCTCCCTCCCCCTTCATGTCAACCTATCCCCCCCCCCCATTTCTTGAGACCTACATGTAGATCTTTCTCTGATGTAGTTTGAAATTCATAATCACTATTGGAGGACGACTGCATTAAGGAGTGCATCAGAAACATAAAATCATAGATGTCAGATGTAACAGGGACAGGTAAAAAGTGTCTTTGTATCAGACATTGGAGTGTAAATTGCGTGGTATGGGCTCCATGCACAAATACAGGTTCAACAGCCAGAAAAGGAGAGTTGGGGGAGACCTAGACTGGTTCCCGGTCCATCCACTGAACTGCGTATTTAGAATGATCCAAAGTCGTTTGGGGCGGGGATAAGTCTGGGAGATCATCGCAAGTTGAATTCGAACGTATTCGCTTGCCAAAAACACCTGACGCTCACGTGCGAAGACGCTATGGCTTAGCTTTGTGCACATTCAGGATAGATAAGTCGTGCATACTTTGTGCGCGATCCAGTACAGTATGAACATGCGGTGTCCCATCCAACAGCTCTCAAAAGTGGTAAAAACGCGCCCTCTTTTGTTGGCGCACGGAGCCTATAGGTGTACAGTAAGTTCCTGGGTACCAGTATTGGAAAAACTGCAAGTTTTTTCTTAAGTACACCATGTAGCAGATAAACTTTTGGGTTTATGTAGTCAGCATGCAACTAAGTGGGCCAGCACATTTGGCTAGTGTGAATTTTGCTTTCGTTCTTTATTGCATTTTGTGAGATTGAACATGTGTTTGAACGGGTTAAGCTGGAGTTGTTCCAAGTTGACAAGGCATGTTTCTTAACTTAATGTGAGAGGACTTTCTGTTGTCAGAAATTTGGTAGGAAATCCAGTAACTCTGCTGCATGCGGAGACTTAGTCCTGAGGCAGCAGAATTCGGTCCCTGCGGTAAATATTCAAAGCATTGACATTGACTCGCCGCAGCAAGTAGCTGCACGGGTAGCACATCAAGCATGACATGCGCCCATCAATGCACAAGGACACGCTCATCAAACGTGTGGACAGCACTATAATGTACGGTTTACATTTGTATAACATTATTGGTGGTGGATTGGTATACACCACACTGCAAAATGTCAAACCATCTACTGGTACATGTATTTAGCGGTACGTAACTTCTTTGATGGAAGTGGGTGAACTGCTTTACATGAGTAATAGGGCATGTAGCATCACATGTCCATGTTTTGCATGAGTGAGCATGTGATCACCTCAGGGCATGCATGTCATCAGATGGTAGTCATGCAGATCGCAGATGAGTGGCAAGATGCTCATTGGCTTTGTATATCAGGCCAAAAAAAAAAAGTCTCCGGTTTCTGGTATGGAGCTTGCCCCAAAAGTGGTGCGGCGACGCGGCTTTTTTTTTTTTTTTACCTGTTTTTTTTTTTTTTTTGGCTTCAAATGTCGGCTGATGACTGCAAATAGTGCCCGACTAAACTTAGTGCAAATATATGGGACTCCAGAGAGGCTACATAAAGTTTATTCTCGATCATAACCCCATCTAAAAACACGTTAAAATTGTGCAGCAGCAGGATTCCAGTCAAACCAGTGAGTTTGGCGGTTTTGAGACATCATCTTGTAATGAAAAAAAAACTTTTTCACTTTGCCGACGCGCATGGCTACGGCGACGCGCGCGCATACCAGAAACCGGAGACTTTTTTTTTTGGCCTAACAACCTTTTTTTTCTCTTCCGACGTGTCCGAAGAGCCTGCTACTTATTCTGTGTGCATACATTTTGTAAATGAAACAGGATCTTTGGGCTGTAGTGAAGTCTGATGACTAGTCTTACATGTATTAACGCATGCCTTTAACGTCTGAAAACTCTAGGGGGAGGGGCATAAAAACAGTGAAGGTTACAACTTTTTGAGGATACTTTGTTATGAATTTTTTGAAAGTGGTCATAAGATGAAATTTGCGAAATTTGTCCCAATTGATCTGGTGATTGTGAGAAAAAAATCACGCGGATGGCACTCGAACCCACGATACAAGTTATTTTCGAAAGACTAATTTTTAGGAATGTCTGGTTCAGCTTTCTATTGACAAGGCTTTCAAATGCATTCTTACATTTATATTCACTTTGGTTTTAGGAAAATTAAAACTAGGTTTGATCCTTCAGGAAAACAAAGTTGTTCTCAAGATCATATTCTTCGAGAAATCTTTGCCTTTTGGGGGGAAATCGTTGTGCAGGAAACCACTTCAATCATAAATTTACCACCATCTTCCAAAACTGGTACACGTACACAACCATTTGCATGTACAAATATGCACCCACAAAATGGTAAGAAGCAGCACACAACTAAGTATGACTCGGATGAGGACTCAGTCTACAAGTATCCCTTTAAGGTTGATTCGTACATTTTGTACTTCACGCGTATGCAAAATATGAAGCGAATTTGATGTCATGAAACATTCGCTGTGAAATTCACCGGAATTGAAATTTGTTCAGCTTTTTGGGGATTTGCAGCGCGAATATTTGCCCTGACGCATGACGTCACAAATTTGCTCTCGTGTACTCTTTCGCGCCAAGTATGAATCGTCTTTATGGTGAAAATGACCAAGTGCACAGACATATGGAAGGGTACATGTGTGGCGTGCTACTTGTCACTTGTGTGCGTGTGACTAAGCATGAAGTCACAATTTAATAGCTCCCAGCTTCTGGTGGTGATACACCCACGGGCAGAATTTTTCACCCTGAAGTTCACGTCCTTGCTTTGTTCCTCTTCAGTGTCCGCCAGACGAAGAAGGAGAATTTGTCGGCAAGCTGCAGTTCAGCATCAAATATGAATTTACCGATGAAACACTGGTTGTCAAAATTATGAGGGCAACTGATCTACTAGCCAAAGATTTTAGGTAGGAATTTTCCGTAAACATACATCATTCCATCCAAGATGCAGATAATGACCTCAAACGGATTTTAGTAATCAGCCCCTTAACTCTTTTCAGTCCCATACTTAGAAAGCCAAAAATTGTCTGGAAAAGAAAAAACTTGCCTTGTAAAAAGTCTTACAATTTTCACATTGGAGGCCAGTCATTGGCGACTGTGAAATTCTAGAAACCATTGAGAAGGAGATGTCAGACATTTTCTTAAACATGTACATGACATGGTTTCTGGAGTTGTTGAATGATTTATATCGTGGATACAATGTTTGATTTATCTCATTAAATCTTTAAGTTTATATAAACGTATTCTGGCACAGCTCGTAATGATTTCTAACACAATAGGCCTACATTTGAATTTTTAACATGTTTATTTTTGATTTCTCTGTATTGTAGTGGTACCAGTGACCCATTTGTCAAGGTGCTTTTGCTACCCAACAAGAAACATAAAATGGAAACTAAAGTCAAGAGGAAAAAGCTGAATCCAATCTGGAATGAGACCTTTCTGTTTGAAGGTAAGAAACTAAAGTCAAACGGAAAAAGCTGAATACGGTCTGGAAGGGGCCCTCTCCTGTTTGAAGTTGTGTGTAAGAAACTAAGTCAAGCGGAAAAAGCTGAATGCAGTCTGGAAGGGGCCAGAAATAGCTGAATCCGAAAATAGCTGAATACAGTCTGGAAGGGGCCCCCTCCTGTATGAAGGTACATGTAAGAAACTAAAGTCAAGCGGAAAAAAGCTGAATACAGTCTGGTAGGGGCCCCCTCCTGTTCGAAGGTACATGTAAGAAACAAAATTCAAGCGGAAAAAAGCTGAATACAGTCTGGAAGGGGCCAGAAATAGCTGAATCCGAAAATAGCTGAATACAGTCTGGAAGGGGCCCCCTCCTGTTTGAAGTTACGTGTAAGAAACTAAGTCAAGCGGAAAAAGCTGAATACAGTCTGGAAGGGGCCTGAAACAGCTGAATCCGAAAATAGCTGAATACAGTCTGGAAGGGGCCCCCTCCTGTATGAAGGTAAGTCAAGCGGAAAAAAGCTGAATACAGTCTGGAATGAGACCTTCCTGTTTGAAGGTAAGAAACTAAAGTCAAGCCGAAAAAAGCTGAATACAGTCTGGAAGGGGCCCCCTCCTGTTTGAAGGTACGTGTAAAAAACTAAAGTCAAGCGGAAAAAGCTGAATTCAGTCTGGAATGAGACCTTCCTGTTTGAAGGTAAGAAACTAAAGTCAAGCGGGAAAAAAACCCTGAATACAGTCTGGAAGGGGCCCCCTCCTGTTTGAAGGTAAGAAACTTAAGTCAAGCGGAAAAAGCTGAATCCAGTCTGCAATGAGACCTTCTTGTTTGAAGGTAAGACAAGTTGTACCGGTATTCCCCTGTGCTAGTTTTGGGTTTCACCCCGAAAAATAGATGTGTTTCTTTTCGATTGCTATTTCCCTAGCAGTATAAAAGTTAGTCACGTTGAATGAGACACCGAACATAAAAAATCCACCGCTGTTTGGTTATTGAATTGTTTGTTTACAAAATTCAAATTATTTGGAGCCCGACAATAATTCGGCTCTCGCAGGGCGGGTTCATTTATACACAAAATGAAAACCCTTTTGTTGCAAACGCCCAACATCTAAAAAACAATGTAGGGTTTTTCCCCATTAAAACAAAACATACGTATCCATAATATGTTAGGAGAAAAAAATATTGTTTTTTAAAAAGCATCTTCAATTGGCTTCCGTGGATATCTTGACATTCAAAAGACTTGATAACATCTGTCACTTCTATCCATCCATGGGCAGATTAAAATCTTATTTTACCGACATTCTCTTGTCACTTTGCCAGGAGCGCTTTCCTGTTTCATCGCAAATCTTCCTATGTGCAAGAAAACCAATGGCACATTCATTGTACATATATGTATCAACTCAGGGTTTTTTTTCTTCCTATATTGAAGACTTGGCTTTGACTTTATCTCTGATATTTCTGATTCACTGGGAAGCAAACCACATCTTGACCAGATATCATACAATTATAATGTTCTTGAAGCAAAACGTGCACCAACATTTTGCCAGAGTCCCCCCTCCCCTAAAATCTCTTGATGCCGAAGATGAAAACAAAGCTGGGATTTCGAAAAAATGCCTTTTGCCATGCCATATACATGTATGTATAAGGTTGAGTATTAATGGCTGATCTACCGTTACTGTAGTCTGAGTATCACCCATTATCCATGGAGCCAATCCCCTGTATAACGTCTGATATATCTTGACATGCAGATATGCAAGCCGAGCGCCAGCCAATCAGAGTCGATTTTACTAAATCGTGACGTCATTTCATTCCTAAATCAGAACGAAATGGTTTGATTGGTCAATTCGAATGCAGTGTTTCGTAAAAAAACAACAGCCGGGCGCGATATCGCGTAACATGATACAGCCAATCAGAGTCGATTTTACTAAATCGTGACATCATTTCATTCCTAAATCAGAACGAAATGGTTTGATTGGTCAATTCGAATGCAGTGTTTTGTAAAAAAACAACAGCCGGGCGCGATATCGCATAACATGATACAGAGCGTGTGACACTTTTTTTTTTAACCTCAATCCTCCAAATTCCTCCACTTTGGCAAAGAGGATTTTGAAGGATTCAGTGCGGTTAAGGTTAATGGTTTCATTTACATAGTACCCCACATACATGATATATCACATTATCTGTCCTTCTTTTTCATTCCCCACTCGGCAGGTTTCCCATATAACAAACTCCAAGAGAGAATCCTGCACTTGGAGGTGTTGGACTACGATCGCTTCAGCAGGAACGACCCCATCGGGGAGCTCAACCTCCCATTGGCGGAGATTGACCTGACCCAGGAGCTGATAATCAACAAGGCGCTCACGCCCAGCACCAAGTCAGCTGTAAGTGATAACCTGCAAGGGGGAAGGGGGCGGGGTCTGGGATTCAGTGAAGGACAGACAGATAGATAGACATTTGGATGAGTAATAAACAGACAAACCTGTGGGTTTATTATCACCACTAATTCCCCAGGACCCAATAAATGGAACATCCTAAATCCCGAGTCGGACAAAGCATTTGGCAAAGCCCAGTCGGACAAAGCATTTGCCATTTTGCGTAAACACTCCATGCACATCCAATTTGTTTTCTTCAGAAATTTCGGTCTAAACGTCTTTAAAACATTGTCAATACTTAGAAAGGCTTGACAAAAATGGCACTGGCAAAACAAACAGGGGAGAGAGATTCGATAACCTCCGCTCAGCCTTGTTGAAGGGAAGCGTTAATAAAAGCACACAGGGAAGCAAGCTGGACAACTGAGTTGGCTTTCTGAATTCTGAAATTGTTTTGTATTTCAACGTCTTTTCTTTCACTGTTTTGTCTTGGCTGTCATTTGCTTCCTTTGTTTTTTTTTATTCCCAACACACCCCAGAAGAGGTATATGATATTGCATATGTAGTAGGGCTGTGCGTCGGAACCGGGTACCTGAGTACCCGACTGTTAATGTCAGGAACCAGTTCTAGATTATGAGATCGGGCACCTGATACCAACTTTACAAATTGCTCATGAAAGCTTACTCGCGAAAGCTGCAGTTTACACAGTAACTTTCGAGATTTGAGTTTGGCATGTTTGGCGTTGGGTTTCTTTAATGGGTATCGAGGTACCCATGCTTTTTCAATCAGGTACCCGGTTCCTGTACTATCCATAAATGCACACCCCTTGTTTGTAGGCTAAAAGCCACCCATAAATGCACACCCATAGTTTGTAGGAAGGCTAAAAAATCTAGAAGCAAAACCTGATAAGCCAGAACTAAAGTGACAAAAAAATTGATTGTAAGGACCGACTCCATATGTTTTTGTTTGTATTTCTGCAATGTTTGTAGGGCAAGCTCGGCAAGATCCTTGTGTCGCTGTGCTTCGCACCCACAGCGGGCAGAATAACAATAGTCATCATGAAATGTGAGAACCTGGCTGCGAAGGATATTACTGGCAAATCAGGTCAGTACCACTTTGTATTTATTTCTTTTTTTAAATGGTTTGCTGTTTGAAGTGCCTTTTCTTTCTTCAAAAATTCCATTCTGGGTGCACCTTCTACATGTACATCTATCGTAAGCACAAAACATTACTAAAGCCAGCTTGTACTAAAGCGAAACACACCCCAAAAAAGTTTCTGCTCTCCAAATTTGATAAAGTTGAGCACACATTTCAGCTCTGGTATCTTTGCTGCAAGTGTCAACAACAACTTTGCTTCTCGTTTTGTGCATTTGTCAACCATTCTGACCAATCCCTCTTCCATCCAGATCCGTATGTCAAAGTATGGCACATCTTCCAGGAGAAGAAGATTGAGAAGAAGAAGACCCTGGTCAAGTACAACACACTGAACCCGGTCTTCAACATCTCCTTCATGTTCCACGTCACGCTGAACAAGATCCGCGACACCAGCTTCATCATATCCGTAGTGGACCACGACCGGCTGTCTCGCAACGACACCATCGGAGGGATCATACTGGGTTCCAAGGCCTCCCCTCAGAGACCAGTCACTGGGCGGAGATGTTGAACAAACCCAGAACTCCCGTGGCCCAGTGGCATGTCTTAAAAGACATGGGCTGATATAATCAAGGAGGTCTTCCTTTTTTGTCCTGTGTAAATAGTTTGGGTGTATTTACCTTTTCCAATTTTGCTGCCCGGTGTTTATAGCAAACAGGGTAATAAGGAGGTGCACCGATAGCTGTCTTCCACTTTTTGCATGTGTTGTAGAGGATTGGATGCAGGGAACCAATGAAAGCTGGTCACCGTCACACAACACCTTTGTGTGTAAGTGGGTGTGAACGATGCATGCAGGGTACCGGCGACAGGTCAAGCACAGCACCAGTTTCCTCAGGATTATTTCACACTCTTGTGAAACTGCACCGGTACACATACCACCTCAGCGACTGAGCTACACCTCAGCGACTGAGGTCAGCGACTGAGGTACACCTCAGCGACTGAGGAACACCTCAGCGACTGAGGAACACCTCAGCGACTGAGCTACACCTCAGCGACTGAGCTACACCTCAGCGACTGAGCTACACCTCAGCGACTGAGCTACACCTCAACGACTGAGCTACACCTCAGCGACTGAGCTACACCTCAGCGACTGAGCTACACCTCAGCGACTGAGGTACACCTCAGCGACTGAGCTTCACCTCAGCGACTGAGCTACACCTCAGCGACTGAGCTACACCTCAGCGACTGAGCTTTACCTCAGCGACTGAGCTACACCTCAGCGACTGAGCTTCACCTCAGCGACTGAGTTTCACCTCAGCGACTGAGCTTCACCTCAGCGACTGAGCTACACCTCAGCGACTGAGCTTCACCTCAGCGACTGAGCTTCACCTCAGCGACTGAGCTTCACCTCAGCGACTGAGCTTCACCTCAGCGACTGAGCTTCACCTCAGCGACTGAGCTTCACCTCAGTGACTGAGCTACACCTTCTAATGTCTTTGCCTTCCAGTCAAGTGTTTAGGTCTTACAGTAAACCTACCAAAAATGTCTTCCAACTCATTTTGTAGAACAATAAAAACAAACATGGGTTGTTATAAGTATAGTAGAACACTGCAACAATCGTTTTGAAATCCAAAGACTTTCCCAATTGGTAGAGATTTCAATGGCGTGTATTATACACTTCATATTGTTCGGTATGCACTCTTTGCACAGAATGGCCATTTTGAAACTAAGGATGTAATGTTTAAACGCTTTAAATGAAATTTTTGTTAAAGCCGTTAACACAGTTTCCAAACGTTTAAAGAAAACCGTATTATAAAGAGTAACCTACGTTCACGCGATCTGCCTTAAACATACATAATACAACTAAGTAACTGCATTTTCAAACCTGTTTAATGTACAAAACCACCACAGTACTTGATTACATTCGAGGTACACGTAGTTAACTTTGACTTTTTCAATGACTGCCTGCTATTGTTTTGTTATGATGGTCATTGTTGAGTCACATTTGTATCGTGTCAGTCAACCCGATCTGCAAAAAATTCCTTTGTGAAATGGCTAAACGTTTAAACGGTTCTTAAAATATTTCCTAAACATTTACAAACTTAAACACAAAGTCACATCATTTACTGAAACTAAAGACAGGCTGGACTTGCAAAAACACAGATTAATTCTTTTTGTTACTATGGGGGTTACTCAGTTGTTATACTTAGCCAAAAGTTGCCATTGCAGTCTCTCTTTGAATTGTAATCTGAAAGGGTTCAATACTACACAGGGACGACAGGGTGAGTAAAAAAAAAAAGGAAACCCAAATCGCAGGACCATTTTTTAAGGAAGTTCTACATGTAGCACTATTCAAATCTAGGATATGAAAGCACAATAAATGAGCTTTCTCTTAGTACAAGGATCACTCAAATCACTCATGTACTTTTCAAGTTACGGAATTTTGTCCACGTATCACCGAAAAGGTATAAGTGTTCTTTCAGCAAAACAAAATAGGGATGTGTGTGAATTGTTTTCGTTTTGCTGAAAGAACACACACCTTTTTTTGTGATCCGTGAACAGAACTTTAACACGATGGTTGTGTTAAAAATTCTGTAACTTGAAAAGTACATGAGAGATTTGAATGATTCTTGTACTAAAAGAACGCTTATTAATTGGGCTTTCCTGTCCTAGCTTTTGAAAGTGCTACATGCAAAACTTTATTAAGACAATGGTCCTGTCATTTGGGTCTCCATTTTTTTTTACTCGCCCTGTAATGGCAGGGGATACACGTATATGGTAGAAATAGAATTTCAGTTCCGTTTTATTTTGGTACTTTGTACTGTAAGTTGTACTGATACTTGTTACAGCGGCGGCGGAACGGGTTTGAAACTGGGGGGGGGCATCACCAAAAAGGGGCACTTGCAAACCTGTGCTGAAATGTCAACACGTTTTTTTCACCGAACACTTGGCCCTCTTCAAAACCAATGATTATATGCTAAATATGCATTATGTGCCCATTTTCAGGGCTAATTGTATGGGTTTTGGGACTTGGTTTTCATATTCCTCGTTTATATCAAAAATATCTATACCATTAGTGGGAAATGGTTACTTCTTAGAAATAGTAAGATACTTTAAGGGCATTTTTGTTTTATCTCGAGGGGACACTTTAATGCTCGAGGGGGCACATTTATGGCTGCAAAAGGGGCACTTGGGAAAATCTGGGGGGGCAAACGCCCCCCCCCCCCCCGACCCCCCCCCCCCTCCCGACCCCCCCCCCCCCCCCCCCCCCCCGTTTCCGCCGCCCCTGACTTGTTATTATATAAAGAACTCTTTGATTTATTATATCCAAAAGTATTTTCGACTGCACTGTAAAGATTATATAGTTCATGCCAAGGATAATAATGATTAAAGAAATGATAATAGTTAAATTATATTTATAGCCCTTCGCATGGGACATTTATCTTATGAGGAATAAATAAATGTTCAAGTGCTTGAGAATATTGAGATATGAAGTTGTGACATGACTGCATAGTTTTGTGACATCGGGTATGCGGGAAGAAGTGCTTCCCTGGTAGAAAGTGAAATTAACATTGGGAGAGGGGAGTAATTTGTGCTAAAAGAAATGCAATTTAACTAATCCTTTATTTCGTTGTTATTAATTAGTGTTTATGCAATGCAAATAGGACATCAACTATGAAATAGATATATAAATGCACAATTTAATTTCAAAAGAGTGATGCTTAAAGCTGTCTTCCAACTCTAATAAAAAAAGTTAACATTGATTTGTTTATATACACTAACATCTCATTATCAGACTATTATTTATGTTGTATTATATATTCAGTGTAATTTGCTATATGTACATGATGTACACTATGGTTCTTGGGTATTCTAGGCTAATTACTGCACAAAAGATTTATTTATGTTTGAAATTTTATTGCTCACGGGTTTTTTTTTTGGGGGGGGAGCCAAGAAAATTGTACTACAGGTCTGTTGGGCTCTGGGTGCGTTCGAGTAGCTCACCCGTATTGACTCGGGTAAAGGCAGACCGGTTCGCCACAACAGCCAGGCTAATCGAACGCTAAACCGCAGGCCATCACGATCCTCACGTGTCACCCGTAGCTGCAGTTTTAGCCACTGATAAAACGCCCGTTTTATATTTGGTCTTAGTTTAAGATTTACTGCTTTTCAGTTAATTGCAGAACCTAAAAAAGTTTGGCTGGAATGATAGCCTCTAAAGTCGCAATGAACCAAATAAATAATTACCTTTCGACTTCAAATACAGTTGGGGTCCACTTGAGATGTCGCTGTCCGGCCACCTTATTTGTCCGTTTTTTATGAATGAGCAAGGCGTGCATATGATGTATTGCCACGACTGACTTCGCTCCGAGGCGTCTTGTCTTTTTTCCTTGTTTCTTCTGCTGTCAACTGGTCATTTATTCTCTTCAAATTTTCGCCAACACGAGCAAATATATGCCCTGGAAAAACAGGTTGGGACTGTGTACACCACCCACAAAACTCAACGAAAGCAATACATTTCCCCCCCCCTTGCTTTTCACATTAAATCACACTCAAGAAATGTCCGGAAATGTTGGCACCCCCCCCCACCCGATTGTGCTCTGGATCCGTCCTTGTGCTTGGCTTGCATGTTCAGGTTTGCCTCCACCCCCCCCACCCCCCCCCCCCCCCCCACACACACTTTCCGTATATGCTGGATCCGCCACTGTTCCTGTCTCAGCAAAATACTGCAACTTGCTCAAATGTTGTGCGATGAAAACTCTATTTATAAAACTACCAGCATGTCAATTTTCTGCTTCAGCTGATGCACGAATTTGTGCTCACGTACATGTAGATGCTAATGTTTCCAATACATTGTACTTTGCCAATAAGATTGACACCAATGATTACGCCTTGGTTGTACTATATTGTATTTATCCAATGTATTTTTGTATATTTCATAGGACGACGTATTCAGTGTACACGTTTACATGTACTGGGAAAATGGACATTATAAAGAGCATGGTGTACCATGTGAACAGTTACATGCCTTTCATTCTTTGTTTGGTCTCACACAATTATTCAGATTTTTACTTTATTTAGATGATTAAAAATCTTCCCCAGCTCAAAATTGCTCAAGTTTTTCATTTTTCTTTCAAGAGATAGGCAAAAGCTATCCAATGTAATTTTGTTTGATTTTCAATTTCCCCCAAAAATGTTATTTATAATTGCACAGGAAGATTGGTAAGTGATACAGCAATATTTTTCCCCCTTTGTCCCAGTTTAAGGCCTACATGAAGTGTTTCATTGCAAATTTGAATATTACATTTACAGATTAGAGGAAAAGCCCAGATGTATCACTTGGACTGGAACTCTCTTGAGGGTTAAAACTGCTCATCTTTCCCCACAATTACACACTAGATGTACCATGACACATTTTTATTGCCTTTTCAGCCAAAAACAATTCACACTCAAAGACTTATCAACGAGAACTAGTGAAGAAAGATTGACCAGAAACGACAAGAACTGGTGAAGAAATGGTTGACAAAAACTGAAAATATTTTGTATGATAGAATATTTATTGAAAATCCTTCAGCTTAAATTGTGAACAATCAGCCATAGGTGAACAATTGTTACGTGTGGTTGATTTACAAATATGTATTTTTAGTCAAAGTCCAATAAATGGACAATGCCATGGTTGGTTGGTTTTCTCCTGTATGCTTGATAACGACTGATGACTGGTCTTTCATAATAGATACCAAGTAGAATTTTTGAAAAGCACACTTGACAAAAATCGACATTTTAAAGTTGGTGATTTGAGTCCCCAGCGCAGTTGGCAAATGGAGGCGAGTTCATATTTAAGCATTTCTGTCCCTAGTGGATTGATAGTATGATCCAATTCTTTTGGTAGATAACAACCAAGACACATATTATTCTTACCATGCATAATAAGACAATTTATGCATTCAGGTTTGCTTGAATTTGTAAAAAAAGGAGAGTGGAGCATTTTTTGGGGACACCCTGTAGAAGCAAATGGTTGTCTTGAGCAATTATATGCCACCTGGAGATACATCTTTTAAGTCTTGACAGTTTCAAGTTTCTTGTTAAATGCCCTTTTTCTATCTTACCAGGAGAGTTGACAATAGGTGTCCTCACACTAGGCTAGTTACCGTATTTATTCTTTATAGACTTTGGGGAATTGTAAGGTCAAAGAATCAGTCTAGCAGGCCTGTACCCCTTCACATGTGTGTAATCAATTGCAAAGAAAATGCGGATGAACTAAATATGAAAAAGTAGGAGCAGTTTTTTAAATAAAGCCAGTTATCTCCAACGCTGGTCGGCCGACCAGCGTTGCAAAAATACAGTTTTTCTCGAAAATTTCAGCACACCAGGAGCCACGATTGTACAGGATGCTTTAGACTGTCATTCTCTAACAATTTAGTGATGTATTTTGTGATAATTTGATCATTTCGTTTTTTGATGTTTGCAAATGTTGTATCTTCCCTTTAAGGGTTACACTAGCTAGCACTTTACCATTGGAGGGGTCCGTCATGACAGAAATGAAAGTGTCTATACATTGGCAACCATTCCAAAATCGGAACAGCAGGCAATCTCGTTATACAAAACTTGGAACACTTTAAGGAACTGGGCTCGATTAAGTGTTCAATTTTTATCAAAAAGGTTTTCGTGTTCCTGAGGAAAACCAGTCTTTACAAGTCATCATGAAGTTAGTCACAAGTCAACCACCAAACAATCACAAGCTGCTGGTTCCCGG